TATTCACTTATGTTTATTTTACGAGAAAGATCTTGTGGTGCTTGATAATCATAAACTCAATTATGTGGCAGCATTGAATTACTTTGTGGATTTCAAACCCATTTAATTACCAATTTCCATTGGATATTTAATATTTCATAAATGTAAGCATTTATCTCTTCCAACATGTACTTAAGCGTGCAATGAGTAGTATCAAAATCATTTGGCTTGAATTTCAAACACTTGTTTTTTATGAGCTATCTCAATCAATCGTCAGTTATGGAAAGATCGGGTTCCAAAGGCCGGATCCCTTGTGAATCAAGTCACGAAAAATTCAAGAATCGGCAACAGGCCATGGGCCTATACCTTCAGTGCCAACACTTCTATCCTATTCTATTTGGCTTGAATTTCAAACACTGTTTTTTATAAGCTATCTCAATCAATCGTCAGTTATGGAAAGATCGGGTTCCAAAGGCCGGATCCCTTGTGAATCAAGTCACGAAAAGTACAAGAATCGGCAACAGGCCATGGGCCTATTTCTTCAACGCCGACACTTCTATTCTATTCTATTATATTATATTCTATTCTATTTTATTCTATTCTATTCTATAGTATTTAGGCGTCTAATTAATGGCATTAAAATGGTTGTTTTGATGTGCTGTTTGTGCTCGGGGCGCAGGCTGCCATCACAGGTACAAATTAAGCAGAGGTGTCAGGGTCTCTCAGGAACACATGACAAACAACAGCGCGTCATGAACGACTATTATGTATATAAGAATATATTATATCTTATATATTATGTGTGTAAGAATGAATAAGTATTCATGATGTACTCGCCTTGCAACGCAGCCTCGCCTCAGGCTTGACTGTAACTCTAACATTCACCAGTAACTTGGTCGTATATATTGAGTCCGGAGCGTAAAATATTTATTGTATACTCTGTTTCTATTAAGTTAGAACATATATATAAGTATTATTGGCAGTATTCTCAAACATAATTTCGTTATACCTGTAATATAGTAGGTTGAAATTTTCATAATACTACCGGCAATTAATAATGAAATAATTAATAATACTACCGGCAACGTGGATGTTAATTTTTGTTAGACGTCAGTTAAGCTGCTGATCCCGATTGGCGCAGTGGTTCTCTCTTACAGGATTTAAACTCCAACGCCTGGGTAAGTTGTTACGTGCGATAGTGTTAGAATTCGAATACATTGTGAAATACTGTGAAATTAATGAACATATAATTTATTTGTTATGCTTATGTATTTTTTCTTTGTCATCTGTTTTAGGATCATACGCTCTATCTCAAAGCTCCTATCTGTTTCTGCGTATCTCCTAGTTGTCAATTAGTAGCTCTCTCCTTGTGCGTCTGATTAGTGGAAGAATAGTACAGTCTTCGCTTCAGTTTTGCCGTAATTCCCCGTTTAAATTTGTTTTTTTTTTCTGTTGCTTGCTGTTTATCATTAAATATATTAACTTTAGCTTTGTCATTGGCGTTTCAAGCTCCGTCCAGCCCAAGCCTTGCTTAATTAATAAGCCAATACTACTATCAATAGGGAACGGTCTTACAGTTTTACTATACCTAAACTATATCTGCACGAAAGATTACGCGCTAAAATCTTGTTATTTAATATTTCTCCGTACTTTTATGGCTAGAAGGTAATTTCCACCCATATAGGCTGAATATTTGACAATACTACCGGCAATGGCAATTAGACAGCGAAGATCAGGCTGACGTGGGTTTTGAAGCCAGGGCAAGTTATTGCGTGCGATAGTGTTGTAATTCGAATGCATTGTGAAATACTGTGAAATTAATGAACATATAATTTATTTGTTATGCTTATGTATTTTTTCTTTGTCATCTGTTTTAGGATCATACGCTCTATCTCAAAGCTCCTATCTGTTTCTGCGTATCTCCTAGTTGTCAATTAGTAGCTCTCTCCTTGTGCGTCTGATTAGTGGAAGAATAGTACAGTCTTCGCTTCAGTTTTGCCGTAATTCCCCGTTTAAATTTGTTTTTTTTTTCTGTTGCTTGCTGTTTATCATTAAATATATTAACTTTAGCTTTGTCATTGGCGTTTCAAGCTCCGTCCAGCCCAAGCCTTGCTTAATTAATAAGCCAATACTACTATCAATAGGGAACGGTCTTACAGTTTTACTATACCTAAACTATATCTGCACGAAAGATTACGCGCTAAAATCTTGTTATTTAATATTTCTCCGTACTTTTATGGCTAGAAGGTAATTTCCACCCATAAATTTACTTAAGAACACTGAATAAAAAAATATTGAGAATAACTCTATTTTTCATATTTTACTTTACATTTTTAGTCGCAAAATAGGCCCGGCCTGTTCTTCGCTTCCTGTAACCCAAGTACTTTAGCGCTCACTTATCATTAACAAACAAATTGCAATTGCTAAATCTTTATTAGCTTCGCAGCCTTCACACTCTTAGCGCTTCCACCACGCGGGTGTCGTATAAATTTCTTATTGATGTACAAAGCATGCGTGCGCATGACTATCCAATCGGGTATCACCTTCCTATAAAATTATTCGCTCGATGAGCGAGGCATGCACGCTCAAACTTTAATTTCAGGCATAAGGCTATCTTCCATGACATTGGCTTTTATGATTTGGAATTTCTACAAATTTGGCCTTTAAATTGCGAGAATTCAACCGCTTAATTTTACTGAATCCAAATCAGTATTACGTTTGAAGCTTCCTTTCACGATTAATGCTAATTTTAAATTGAGGTTCAGATTCATCCTGTTAGGTCTAAAAACCGCAAAGATATTCGAGGATTACAAGAGTAAGCAATAGAGCAGCATGACTACCATGAAACAAACTCAAATATCTTCATTCACATGAAACGCAAAGCAATATTTCGTTCATTATGCTAGGATATTCGACAACATCGGAACCGTGGCTAAGATGTCAATCGGAACATCAGCGCAGGCAGCTACACAAACTATGCATTCAGCCTCCACTTCGCAGCATCAATACGCATGTTGAGAAATGCTACGGCACTAAACACTTCTTGAGAAGCAACTCTAATTGGTTCTTATTGTCTTGCGGCCTACCGCATGCAGCTAAATTGCTGCCTGTAGCTGAGATGCCATTTGAATAGATGAGCATCAGTTGATTAATTCACTTCCATATGGCAGCAAAAATGCTCAAGTCATCATTGGAGATAAAAAATGACGGCGAGCATTGTTGACACTAACAGCATTTTGAAACTACTAACATCACGTAATTACTTGAAATGAATTATCCAAAAATTTTGGCAATCGTCTAATAAAATTTTTGATCTTGGTCGATATCTGAATTCCATTAAATTTTCATTTTCGAACAGAGTTCAAGTTGATTCTCTCAGTTCAAATCCAACACGAATATTCGTCTTGCAATTTGCCATATTGACTGGCCAGCCTTATCGCGTTTTATTGCGAGAATCATCGGCGAAGCTCCGTCAAATTAAGCAAGAAGTATACGAGTACTCAGCGATTATCGGCATCAATCTTCTTCATGTGTGCATTATTGTTGACGCGTGACTAGCTGCCAGGAAGCTGACAACGACGGTTATTGCTTACAATTTTCTCATTTGAACTTAGCGCCATGGTACTCCTAACCGTTCATTTATCGGGAATAAATATTATCTTTATTTCACTACTTAACGTCATTTTGTATGCTGCACCGTAGCCTGATTGGGAGTGGAAATTAATTCTTTTGACAACCCTGGTCATTTAACTTTTAGCTCTTACCCGCTTGAAATCGTAAATAGGTAGGTTTTACAGCTTATGTTTTTTGTTGTAACCTTGACTGTACTAATTACTGATTTATCTATGTATTAAGCAATGCTCGAAATTTACATGCTAGTTAAGGCGCGTGGAGAAATGAATACCTCAGCATGATGTTGCCCGCGTTGCTAGAGTGATAATTTTGAGTCGCCTGGTTCATCAACATCAGTTTCAACTGCGATAACTGAGCACGAATGCTGAAATTTTAACAGAACCGTGAATTTAAACCCGAATTTAAGGCTAAAACAGAACATAGAAATGACTGTTTCACAAAAAGCTCGACTTCATGCTAGTGGCCATCAGTAATGAGAAGATGTTTGCGGTGCTTTACGGCCACAGACGCAGCGAGGCGTGCAGGGCTCACGGGCACTCGGAAAGCTATCGTCTTACGCGTACAAATACAACACCGCGAAACATCGTAATGCACGAGTCTTCCCTCCACACTCCTGGGCATTAATTGGCATCAAACCCCTTCAGCTTAGCAAGGAAAAGACGGTAATGGTGCATGAAATTTGGAAGACCTTCCTCCGGATCAGCTGTAATGGTAATTCTGAGACTTCGGTCCTGGTGATAACTGAGCTTTCCAATGAAAAGTGGCTCTGTATAATAAGAACGCTGTTCATAAAATGCCAAAAGGTTTGACACTACTGCACTTCGCGACATGATGCAAGAATATAGGAAGCACACACTTTCATCCTAGACATTACACGGCGTGAGCTATGCCTATTACTTTTATTCTCAGCAGGAAGCAGCAAAGAGAAAATATTGACGCAAATGCTCTAGCAAATAAAACGAAACCCAGAATGATGACGCAAACTAAAAAATAAATTGTCTTTCGCGTGTCGCAGGTCAAAATCGATGCGCTATACGGCTCTTTCGTCTTTTGACTTGAAATGAGCAAAAGGAAACAAGGACTTACTTGAATAATGAGAATTGCTATTTCTGTACGAGGTCAGATATATTGCACAAGACGTGCACACGGCCGTATGCCGCATCACTCCAAATCACTCCAAACAATGCGTTTCAAGGGAAAACACTCCAAACAATGCGTTTCCCTTGGTTTCGGTTCTCCGATTCGGCTACAAATTAATTTAAAATTTTCGATTTCAAGATTATTAATGAACATGTGAACCAAAGTTATGACTATGAACGAAATACTAGGAAGTCATCTCACTTTGCAGAAAACACAATCCCGAACTAACAGGAATCATTACATTGAAACTCATCGATTATATAATATATTGCACGCACAAAATGTAAGATAACAAGGAAATTTTTCAGCAATAGATAACTGATAAACTGATTCACGAGATCCGAAGTTTAAAGAATTCGACTCGTTTGATGTAGAATGAAAACCTCCACGCAGCATAAGCAAATTACACAAACAATTTTATAAATAATCCTTTTTTAGTAAAATCAGGATTTACAAAACAAGTTATCAACAACTAGTGTTTAGTACGGTAGTATGAAAAGTATTCTCTATTTTAGTTGATTTAGGTTTCATACATATGCAACTATGTACACACGAAAATAGACACCTCATTCGTTATCATTTCTGAACTAATCTATCAAGGCAAGCTTGATCAAAGAGATCAGTGAAGCAGCGCTAATAAATGAAGCACGCCACAAAATTCAAACTTAAACTTTAAACTTCTCGCTTAAAAACCCAAAAGCTCAAGGACGATGGTGTAATGGAGGAAATTTTAAATCAAAGATATTGCAATCGTTAAGTTTAAGTAAAATAATGACATGAATAAATTAGTTTTATGAAGATGCTTTCACTGTGGACAATCGATTAAATGAACATAAAATCTTGAGGATTTCATCATTATCGTAAAAGAGTAACTTGGTGCACAGTGAATGTGGGACAAGATAAACAACCAACAATTTGGTCCACGAAACTGTGTGTAATGTTTTCTGCCGAAGTAATTTTCCATAAATAAGAACCAACAAAATTTTTTCAACAAGTGACAAGAGTACGAGCAATACATGAGGTTCTACAACTGAGTCAACAACGATGGCTCGTTTTCAACATAAAGTGAATGAAATTTGATGTCAGCAAGTGAGAGGTCAAACACTGGCATGAACACTGAACAGTGATATAAAAATAGGAAAAACTCTGCACAACTGCAGAAACTGAGACACTTGCTGGCAAGTGTCAGCACGACAGCTCCTCATAAGTGCAGCAGCTCGGACATATGCAGTCGAGTGTCAGCATGACAACTCATCACAACTGCAGCAGCTCGGACATATGCAGTCCAGTGTCAGCACGACAGCTCATCACAACTGCAGCAGCTGAGACACTTGCAGTCGAGTGTCAGCACGACAGCTCATCACAACTGCAGCAGCTGAGACACTTGTAGTCGAGTGTCAGCACGACAACTCATCACAACTGCAGCAGCTCGGACATATGCAGTCCAGTGTCAGCACGAAAACTTATCACAACTGCAGCAGCTGAGACACTTGTAGTCGAGTGTCAGCAGGGCTAGAGACGGTGTGGCCGATGGTTCTGGGGTCTGAGAAGATTTCATAATCGTTGCCACCAGGTGAAGTCTTGTCACCAAAGAAATGTATTGACTGGAAGACGACAAACAAATGAGAATTCCAAACACAGGCACTAGTTTTATGATGAATTTCTAGTTGGACAACACTGCCTAGATAATTATCTGAATTCAATGAAAAATAAACCATATAAATTGGTTCTGTATATCAACTGTAAAGAATTCAAATTACTTTCAACAGATTACACATAGTAAAATATTTAGACTCGTCACTTGAAATCAAGAAATGGATGATATAAATGAATTGCTAAGCAAAATTCTGCTATCGTTTTCAATGTAGTGTTATCCAACTTCGTTTCATTTGCAAAGATAAAGTATAGCTCAATGGCAAATATGGGAAACTGAGATTAAAGATACCTTGAAGTCTTTCTCGATGAATTGCAGACAATAAGTTTTGTCCCAGCCTGTAGGGAAAGCATCTATGCTTATCTGTCCACCTGAAAATAAGTTCAACAATTACTCGTGGAAAGTAAAAAGATCCAGACATTTCATGTGAGAGCAAACCAAGATGAGCAAACCAAACAAGGCAATTACCATTCAAATACAAGCCTTCAATCGAAGTCTTTTTATATAATTTTGTTAACTGTTAAGAATGCATTAGTGACTAAAAGCAATCACTTCTAAATTTCTGATACTTCTGATGATATAATGACAAAATATCTATCACACACACAGTGTGATCACACTTAACAAACGTGTAAAGCTCATGCATATTAGTAAAACAATTTAACTATGAATTGTTAATTTATCCTCTTTATCCGTTTAATCTTTTGGTATAACTTGCAATCTATGCAAATAAAAAGCCACTAAGCAACAATCTATAGGTACCTATGCTGAAAGTAAGGCCCAGATCAGGAAACTTTTCACGTAGCGCAGCAACAAATTTTTCCCGCACTTTGTGCTCCTGCACACAAAAAACAAGACAAATTAATAAATGATTGTTGAAAACATAGAAGAGAATGTTGGCTTCCACTGTATAACAAATACAAATGAAAAAGTTTTAGAACCGATAGGACTTGTTTAGGATAAACAAATTGCTCATTATAACAAATATTCCGTGTTTTATCCAAGTTCAATAAATGAAAGCCAAGTTTGGAGATGTTTTTGTTTGTCAGCACAGATTATATACCTATAGGTAATTTATCTCTTGATGGAACTTGCAACTCTATATTAAATACCATGATACTTTTCACAAGAGATTCCGTGAAAAGAGTGAAATTTGTAGATACTGGATTAAATCATTGGTTGCAGCATCCACTGACATCCTGCCTTGACTAAAAATGGAAATGATCAAGCAATAATGTAATGGGTATAAAAGTAACTGCATGTCAGCAGGAATGGACCAAATCAACCAGGGTCATTTAATAATGTGATATTTTTTCAGTACTGAAATAACGGACAGGATTTTAAATCATTACACACCTTATCATACACAGCAAATTGATCACGCAGCTCCTGAGAGCAGCTCCGTCCCACAGGACACAGGTTGATCAAGCCAGACCTGCAGAAAAAATAAATTCATTAACAGAAACCATAGAGAAGTATAACTTAAGTACCTATATATATATATACAGTCAGTGAAGCTGGATAACACTATGTAGCTGGTTAACACTCAACTAAATTTATGTTTGACTTAAAAGTACCTAAAAACAGCTAAAAAAACCTGTTTTAAACAAAGCACTGAACAACTTGGCTGAATTGCAATAAACACCTAGAATAAAGTTACATTTATACGTGTGATCTACTGAATTATCTTACATATAACAACTTTAGGATCTTTTTATAGTAAAAACCACATAACACATGAGAATTCAAACCTTATCAGTCCATGATATTTAATAAATTTGACCCTACTCCCAAAATTGCATCTAAAAAAATTCTATTTGGATCAAACTAGAATTAACACCCTCATTTTGCTTTATTGAGCTTGGATCATTTTACCTGAATTCAACAAAAGTTCCTCTTTTGGCAGGGAGTTCAAGCTTAGCCATGTAATCCAGAGAGAAATTAATGAATTGCTGAAGAGCCTTCTCTCCCATGTGAGCTTCAATTGACTGCACAGGTTGAATTTTACAATCCAACACATAAATAGAGGAATCGAGACCACGCACTTTTGTTCATTTCAGGATACAAAAAAATCTCAATTATTCATTAAAGCTTAACTGAATATAAATAAGAATTGGTAACCATTATCAAGACAAGGGGTAGTGATTGAAAAACAATTATAATTTATAAAAAAAGTTAAAATATTGCTGCATTTTGAATTTAGGTTTTGTTTGAATCAGAATAACTTGAAATGAAGTCTCATTTGTCAAATACATCAAAATTTGTCAATAAGCAAGAGCTTGGAACAAGAAACTTATTTTGTACTTACCTGTTTAGCTTTTAACTGTCCATGATGATAAGCAACCAGACCATTCTCAGCAAACACAAATGGATATTTCAATGTCTCTGCAAAGACAGAAATCAACAACAAATAAAATTTATTTGCAGAAAAAATTCAAAACTAAGGACTTGTGAAAAATTCTACATTCAATTCCTTTATATAAAGTCAATACAGTGAAGCAAGCTCATAAAATCAAGCAAGTTCCAAAGCAAGTTCATAAAATGCCAATAGCAAAAAATTTTAGTTTGCTTAACATTGTTGCATTTAACTAGAATATATATACGTACTAATTAAATTCAAAATACTATACATATACAAGACTTACCACTAGTTTTTTTAAACATATTTGTCATAAATACCATGTGACACTAGAGCAGGATGAAATTCTTATTTTGAAGGTTCATATATTATTTTGATCCACTAAGACCACTTTTTTGAACCAACATCGTTATTTAAGGCAAAAAGTGAACTTTTTAAAGGCTTAAAACACGTACACTAACTTGCTCAGTTTCTATTATAAAGTACTAATCACTTGAAACTTGCATGCCTGCACCTTTAACTCAACAATTAAAATTAAACTTATAAAAAGTATTAGTTAGTTGAAGACTTTTCTCTTAAGTTGGCTGCGATGAACTAAACTTCATAAAGTAATTAAAACTACACTGCAAAGCAGAGTTTTCCATGATGCACACTAAACACGCAATTCAGGCAAGCAGAACTACACATCATGAGAGCAAGGGTGCAACTGAAATAGCTTCATACCTAGTTCATTCCCTGACTAGAGAGTATAGCTGTATGTAATTATAAGAGAATCATCAGTAGGTATATTCACTAATGTGATGAAAATAATACATACAAAATTATGATTTAAAAGATTTAAGAATTAAATTCCAACCTTCCATTCCTCCCAGCTGTTCTGCAATCTTGGCCAAATCAGAGCCACCAACAATCCCACATGTGGCATTGCTACGGACACTGGCCATGAACTCTGCCATTTTGGGCTCTATTGCCTGCAAAAAGAATGCTATTAAAGTCAAATTCATTTGGCTATAAACAAATTATAATGATAATATTATTAATAACAACCAAATAACTTTTATGCCATGAATCCCACTTACCATTGCAGACAACCTCTTGAAAATGTGTCCCTAAAAGCTATATTCAACCTCTGATTTGTGTCTGAGATGAAAGATTTATCTGAAATAGCCAATCAAATTTGTCTAAAATTTCTTAGCTATGATCAACCCACTATATAGTCAGCCATAAATGGAGCTCATGATATCTATGGCAAGCAGACCACTCAGACCAGTAAGCACAAAAATATATACATCAAATTGCAGTATTGCAGTTTAATTTGAACTGCTGGAACATTATTTCAACAATATAAGTCAATTAAGTCACAAATCTACAATCAATTTTGGCTTAGTTAGCCAGTAGGCTTATTCATACTTAGCAATGAGTTCATACCTTCCTGGGAGCTGTTAGAGTTCCATCAACATCAAACAAGAGTATGATGTCCTGACTAGGGGAACACATTGTTCTTGATTTTTAGATATGCTGTACAATTTAAATTTTGCTTTGCAGTCTTTCAAGATGGTTTAGCCTAGTTGAATCTTTAGAAAAAAACTTGAATATTAAAAAATACACTGATGGCATTTAAAATTCTCCAAAGTATGAGGTTAACAGAAACCATGTTAACCCAAGTATACTCAGTATTGCTTGCCCATATTATTGCATGAAGACAATCAGTATAATCTCTACACAGACCTAATGTTTTAACAAGTAGAGATACACATAACAACTATTTTACTCTAAAATGTTATGAATAACAATTGATAACTCATTAGAATTATACATTTGAAACTTTTGAATGATAGTCTCAAGTTCTCAACTCTCAATAGTCAATATTATTCCAGCCTCATATTTAGAAAAAAAATTTGAAAAGTAAAGTAAATTTTATAATATTGGTTCAAGTGAAGAAAAATGTAAAAGCCACCCTCTAGAACAAAAGATGCTCATGAACAATTCAACCAATTTTAATAGGTAACAATTAAACCAAAGGGTTCACTTTATAAACCAAGAAAAAGGGATAATGTAGGTTTTCTTTCTGCCAACAACCCAACATCATCCATAGTAATTAGTAGGTACTGTGTGCAAGTTTTATAGCCCAATCCAAAAATTTGTCATACAAAAAAAAAAACTTTTGTCAGAATGGATTTCTTTGAAACTAGGCCTACTCTTAGTTTATCTGACCTAATTAAAAAAAAGTAAAGAACACTCGGGACTGGGGTTTCACCTACTGTCAAATTAAATTGTCATTCATCAATGACAAATAGGTAGGATAAGGATTGGAGTTAGAGTGTGGTGACAGTGACCGTGACACTGTAAAAGATCTTCAGCCATCAGCCCTCTGCCCTCCGGCCTTTATATCGGCTAGGCTAGGTGCTAGGTAGCCTAGCTCCTGGCTGCCACGCAGCCACGCATTCATTTTAAAATTAATTTTTGGCATAAGGAGGGGGGAAAGGAGGAGACAGCCTCAGACAGGTAGGCTACAGCCTACAGGATTCAACTTATTCAAGAATATCCTCGTCATGTCTGGAGCACTGATCACTGAAGGCACTCGCCTTCAATAATATGAACAATCTATAATAAACAAAACTGACCCAGTCAGGCTGAGTCACAAGTCATCCACATCTTTCTGTGTAGGTAGCTGCAATCTAACATGATGCCGTGATCAAGACAGCTTCGTAATCATGTCACTTCATGTGGTTATTGATATCTACAAATCGTAGTCTTAATATAAATTGTACGGCTTTCAAAGACGACCGGCCCCGGCAGGCGGGCAGGGTAGTGAAGACAAGTGACAGTCTCAGCTAGCCTGCGACGAAGTATCAAGTCTCCTTCACCTTAGCCTTAGGCCGGGGCTTGATGTTCATCTGCAGGGCGGTGCGGTTGAAGAGTAAACACAGAAGACACCATCCGTGATCAAGGCGAGATCGATCACTACACACTGCAGAAGCTCTCTGGCCCAAGGGTTGTCCTGTGGCTTCAAGTCCACCCAGCGTGGACACCCGGAATAGAAGAAGCAGATCACTACATTGCAATCCGACCACACCAGCTGACCAGTCTAGGTACCCACTACCCCGTGAGTCTCTGACACCTCAGCGTCAGCAGTGCTGCCAGTGCCAGCGACTGCGACTATTAGTTGAAAATCCTGGATTATACCTTAGAAAAAACCTAGAATTAAATAAAAAACCTAGATTTCTGACATGTGATTTCATAGTAATAACATAACATAGTGATCTCGGCGCTGAAGTGTAGGCCATAGGAAAGAGTTTGAATATATAAGGATAAACTCATATTACAATTTTATAATGTTATCGAACAGTTATATAACATATTAAAATTATCATTTATCCTCATCCATCTCGTAAACAGCTTTATCAGCATGTCATGCATGAACAGCATGATGCATCCACTAATATACTTACATATCTCCTATAAATGGCTCGCGCAAGTCTCGTAGCAGTTCACGTCTCGGACAAATTTACAGCTGGTCTCGCGGCCACTCTCTCAAATGAGTCTCAATTCGATGATCAAGGAATATCTCCCAAACTAATGAACGTAGCTGGCAGAAAACTTGGTACAAGTATTCATTGGGACCTAACGGTGATGTTTAGCTCATGAACGTTTTTTGCATTTCGCCATCATTCTTGAGTTCTATTGTGATACGGGTCGAAGTTCGCCGTGATCAAGAAATTCTATCCAAACTACTGAACAAATTTGAACGGAACTAACCAAATTTATACCTAACCTCCAAACAAGGATGTTTAGCTCGTGACAATTTTTCGATTATGTTTTCGTTCGCGAGTTGTACGGATATACAGAGAAACAACCGGTATTTCTGAGGCCGATTTTTAAATTTGCATTGACCAAGAGCCGTATACGTATAGCCGTATAACCCGCAAAACGAAGGCAAATCGGAAAAATTTTTCGCGAACGAAACATCACCGTTGGGAGGTTGGGTATATATTTGCATAGTTTCGTTCAAATTTGTTCTGTAGTTCAGAAGAAATTCCTTGATCTGCGAATTCAAGCACGTATTGCTTTTCAAATCACCAATGAAGGTGAAATTGAAAAAATCTCGCGAAGGGAAATAGAGAAAAATTTCACGAGCTCAACATCACCGTTTGGTAGTTATGAATGTATATTAAAAATTTCGTTCAAATTTGTTTAGTAGTTTGGAAGAAATTCCTTAATCACGGCGAATTTCGGCCGGCCGTACCATCATATAACTACCGAATTAAGCAGAAATTAAAAAAATCACGAGCTAAACATCACCATTACATTCCACTAAATACATGTACCAAGTTGAGCTACGTTCATTAGTTTGTGTGATATTCCTTGATCATTGAATTTGGAGATTGGCCGTGGACCGGCCGCGAGTTCGGCTGTAAAATTATCCGAGACGTTAGCTACGGTTAGCACTTAGCAGTTTTCTTTCCAGCTGGCCCCCATGTTATGAAAGACGGACCACGTTTCGTTACATGTTACCTAGCGAGAATTGACAATAATTATTGTCAAGATTTAGTTATGTATGCTATTATGTGCTGTTATGAAGTGCTATTATTTCAATTAATTAATGCTAATAAGGTTTAAACGTACATTGTTTCATTGGTGTTTGCTTTCAGTGCATCATTCTTGAAAATAAACTTAGATTTAGATCAGTTTGTAAATTAAAAACCTAGAAACCTAGCTGGAAGACTAAACACCTACCTAGATCTAGGTTTGTAAACCTTGCGCTGGCAGCGACAGCTCAATGAGCTCATCACACTTGACACTTCAACTGCACAGCCCAGCAGAAGTTGGATGCGCCATACTCGCCGAAAAACTGAGAATATAGCACACCGTCTCTAAAGCTAAATTAGGCATCAGCAGCTTTCGGTTGTGTATCAACGACGTTGCTGCAGCCGCACTCCGTCATCAACGAAACCAACAAAATTGGTCGTCTACGTGGGTAAACGGAGAGCGCAAGACGTCGAGTTCAAGTGGTGTGATGCAATAGTAACCGGAATCGGATGATTGGAGGAGGAGCCCGGAGGCAATCAGCTGGGCATGGTTCCTATATTATGTCCCCTACGGGGTTAACCCCCTCACAGTGCGAGACCTGCTGGGCGGAGGAGACTTCCCACGGAACACCCAGTTTGCCATTGTAAAAGCTACGGTTGAATACATCAAGAGTACTGGACGCCTGAATAATCTCTGAAAGCTGATCAAGACTGTCCTGGAACAATATAATTCAAATTAAGTAACCCATTGAAAACCATTTGATAAATCCAGGTGCAACAAGTGCCCTGTCGAGGGACATTTATGCAACCTCAAAACGGACTACATACATACTATATTATGTCGAAAATACCTATTTGAAAATTAGATGTTGTGACCATAGTATGTGATAAAAAGGATTGCCATAGCAGTTTATGCTTGCAATGGAAGGAGATAACAATTTTAGAAGTGAGTACCTATTTTGCTAATAATCTATTTGTATTTACCTAGCCCTAGGTAGTTAGAGTAGGCTTACTACCTAGCCCTAGGTAGTTAGAGTAACAGACTAACGTCTAACAGTATCGTTAAATGGTTAATTTTGGAATTGGAACGTGGTCCATGCCTCCATGGTGACACTGATAAAGATCTTCAGACGTCAGGCCTTTATATCGGTTAGGCCAGGGCTAGCTGCCAGGCTGCCAGCCCGCCACACATAGAGGCAAACCAGAGCTTTTTTAGAATCAGTTCCTTTTTAATTTCCTCATTTACTCAAGATTTCAACCAATTTCTTAAGTATGATAAAGCTGGTATCCATGATACTTTACTGGTCCTCTTATTGTCTTAGAGGACTCAAAAATGAACTTGAGAGTTGAGGGAGAGTCTAAAAAACTCTCTGCTTTGCCACTATGCGGCGCCACATGTCACGCTCACGCATTCATTTTAAAATTAATTTTTGGCATGAGGAGAGGGGAAAAAGGGGAGACCAGGTACAGGATTCAAGATATTGGAGTTCAGTTGGCCACCTGAAAGGCTGAAAGCAGCTAGGCTAGACTAAGCTACCTAGTTGCTGCAAAAAAAGGGCTGGCTACTGGGTACTGGCTAGGATATCATAAAGACATAGGATCATGATGATAGGCTTAACACAACCGCACGTCGGCATGTGGCAACAACATGAGCTCAAATGATACAGTGATACATCGGCCAGTGCCCTATTCTTTATTGTTTTGCTGCCGACAACTGCCAAACGCAGGCTTGCCCTTCCCCCACACGTCACATGACCCATTTCGGAGCCGCGACATTTCTAAATCAATATATTTTACCTGACTTCCAACCGCCAAGCCGCGAGATTTCAAACTTAACTAAAATGGGAGATCTTGGGCTGCGAAATTTCCGTAAAAAGTGGATGTATTCCACCCCTGGTTCTTCTGATAACAAGTTTTCCGTGCATGAAAATACTACTTACTGTCTACCTCAAATAATAAATTGAATTTATGTAAAAAAAATTTTAATGAGTTGAATTGCTTGCACCTGAATGTACTTCATCTTTTATTGCATACTTCAATTTGCAATTATGGTCATTTGTTTTGTGATTATTGATATTGCCAATTGTGATCATTTTTGTTCTGTACATTGACTTCTTGGTGATTTTTCTAGCTGAAGTTCAAGAAGCCACTGAGGCAGTTGACATTCTTCTCAGAACAGCTGCCAGCAACGAGAAGCAACTGATGAACTTGGCCAGTCATGTAAAGGGCGTGCAGGCTTTAACCAACAGAATACAGACAGAAGTCAAAGTCTTACAGAGGGTGAGAAAATAGAATGAGAAGAATAGCTTGTGACTAAAAATACCTATCTTCATTTTTTGCAGTATTCAGAAAGACCTCACGTATATAAATACGCTTATTCATGTCACTGTATTCAGTTGTGAACTACATCTGAATTTTTAACAATTTCAGTTTGCAGAAGACATCAAAATTGATTTCCAAGCTAGGTACCATACAGAAGTTGATCAACTTCTCATTGATCAACTTCAGTCACTGATCACAATTTTTCATTAAAATCTACTGGCATTTGGCCATACTGAATGTAATCTTCAAAATGTCTTTTTATGTAATTGTTAACCTTTCTCTTTTTTATCCTCAGGGTCTCCAGAGGCCAAATTGGTTGAAATTAGAACATGTAATAAGCAGCAACTTGCATCACCTNCTTCAAAAATACCGTGATGACTTCAATAGGCCTCTTTTTATAGATGTTGTTGCCAATGGTGGACTCCTGTGGATAAAGGTGGTGCTTATTGATAAGTTATATTTATTATTTATTTAGTTATCCTCCACACATGTCTGCCCACAATTCAGAATTGAATTTATAATTTTTATGCTTTGTCAGATTCTGTCATTTTCTCTTTTCTACATTGCTATTTTCAAGTATTTCTGCTAAATTATTATTAAAAATAATGAAAATCTTCATCTTAGGAACTGATGTTAATGTTATGTTCTATGATACATGCCTACTCAATCAAGTTATACAAGGTGTCTCACAAGTTGATACTTCCAGAGTCAATAAACTCACTTACAGTGACATCTAACCATTTTGTGAAGATTTATATGCGATTATTTGTCATGTATTTATTAATAAAGGTAGCAGAAAGCAAGTAAAATAATTAAAAACAGAGTTCTATCAAAATCATATGATTGCAAGTTCTACAGTAGAATACAATTGTATGATTGCTAGTTCTACTACCCCTGTACCGCGCTCTTTGCCTATACATTTGATTATAATATGGCCTTGTTGGTAGTTGTTAAACAAATTGTTTATAACTCATCTAGTATCTGTCGATCGTTTTTTATTTAGAATTAGTCTCTCTGCAGGTGGTCTGCAGATGCCCTAACACGCTGCAGCTTGCGCACTGCACTGGAGGACGTACGGGCGAGAGGAACCCTCTTGACCAGGCCAGAGCGATGCTAAACCTTGCTGCCCAGCATCCTGTTCTCTACGCCACCCCTAGAGTAAGAGCAAAATCAATAGAGTGTGTCTAATTCAGTTCTGCACCGCGCTCTTCATTCAATCCATTTCTGCACCGCGCTCTTCACTCAATCCATTTCTGCACCGCGCTCTTCACTTAATCCATTTCTGATCTTTGAATGTCAGTGTGATTAAAATTTTGTTTCTTGACGTTGACACCAGCGAAGACAAAATTTGCGTACTATGTTGACCTAGTTGCAATAACCCAATCAGAGTATAAAATCAAGCATACGAATTCAATCGGTAATCTTAAAACGATCAAGGTTTGTTCGGAATTGGTATAAAGTTGTGAAAACTTCTGCTTAGAGATTCCTTATTTAGGTTTTCCTTCGCTTATTAATTGTCACTTTGAATATCCTACCCTTAGGATAGTTATGAATTAAAGAGTTGGACTTAAACAAAAATTAATCTCACAAATTCCACTGAAAATTTATATTGGACCTGAGTCTTGGGCATGGCAAAGAAATTTTCTTGTTGTTTTCCCTTGCGCTGAAGGTCATGCTTGCATGTGTATGGGAAAGCTGTAGAGCGCTGGCTAGGAACTGAGCGCATACCCGGTCCAGTTGAGCAGGCAAGGGGAGGACGCTTGTCTCAGTGTGGGGATGACAATTGCAGCCGAAGGCTAACCTCAGGGCCGTGTTCTGGATTGTTTAGGCCTACCACTGCGATGGGGTACAAGACAGGGGCTGCGTTATTGAGGATTGGGCGCGTGATGGTCCAGTAGGTGGCATTGATGTTCTCCTTCGAGAAACTCCAGTTAATGCTAGAGGGCTTTTAAGTTGCGTAGGGTTCACGTCGCGTTTGTAACGTGAGGGGAGAACGTGTAATTTGTGTCCTTGGTAGTATTTTGGGGGGTTTTCCTGGGATATAATTCCGTTATAGATTGTACTAGAAGGATGTGTGCTTAAATTTTGCTACGGTCAGTTCCTTGGCGGTCTATCAGTCAGAGACGCCCAAGACAAGCCTTACGAGGTCCAACTCCGCAGCATTGAGCCTCATAGAGTAACTACGCGAAAATCGTGAGGTCATCTGCGTATGTGGCAATGTTGGAGACCGGGACTAGAATGTCGGAAATTAGATTGTCGAAGAGAGCAGGTAAGTATCAGATTCTTAGGGAACTCTTGTTTGAATTGCTATCAAGTGGGATTGCATTTTGAGATATAGCATGACGCCATTCTATCTTTAAGGTAACATCATGGCCAGCGGACCACATTGTGGTGGAGATCCTAGGCGCAATCACAGAGAAGAGAGTGTGATTTACGCTATCGAACATGTTTAAGAGATCAAGCTCCGCTGCCATTGTGTGAATTGAAGCCCGTCGCGATTTGGTGCACGATCGGGAGAGGGCGACTGCGAGAGGACATGGGCAACATATGTTAAAAGGTGCGGAGTAGTAGTCGCTCCAGGAGCAAGACTGCTGAGCAGAGGAGAGAGATAGGGTGGTAGGACCAGCCCAGTTCAATGGGTGTACCGGGCTTCTGGATAATGATTAATATTGAGCTCTTCCAGATGACTGGCATATAAGCCGTGGAGACAGTGATGTTGCAAAAGGTGGGTGAGGAATTGGATGCTGTAGGGGCCCAAGTGCTTGTTCAGGAGGACTGTCAGGCGATCCGGTTCTCTGCCGGACGAGTTGCTAGCTACTCTAATTGCGAGCTTCACCAGGTTTGTGAGGATAAGGGCGAAATCTCTGTCGAGAGGGTTATTAACCAAATTCAGAGCATAAGGCGACGGGGGGCGCGGAGGACAGTGGACGTGAATAGCTTGAAGAATGCAATGGATATCTTGCGCTGGGAGATGGGGTATGGCGGCTATCTAGGGAGCAGGCGGGAGCGCCTTCCGGCATGGGAACCAAAAAGATCCCTTGCTTGGATGGGTGAGAACGCCTTTTGCGCTACGAAAGTTGCATCCGACAACTTTCCTTGTCAACCTGTAGGGATAGGAAAATTTTCATTAAGAGATCTGTAAGCCGGATGTCATAGCTGTCACACGCTCTGATGTCGTCTCGTAGCTCCACAATCAACAGGTGCCATGGTCGATGGAAAGAATTCCATCGACGAAGAATAATCATGACGCTTCTTAGTGCTAATTTACCTCCACACGAGACGAGGACAGAAACCGCGGCCGTTAAGGCGAGCCTGTCTGCTTTCTTGGCTGGAGTTCAAGTCGATTTAAAACCTGTCCTTCTTGTTGTAAAAGCATTTTGTTATCACTAACAACGCAGGCGTGATAAACTTGTGAGTAACTTTCTTGTACCTCCTTCAGGTGGCATTCGTTTTCTGCAAAGGTGTGAGTGCTACAGTGCAAGACGCTCTATGCAGGGAAGGAGTCCTGGTGTGTACACCTAGAGTCATTGCCGACTCGTTATTGCCGGCTTCGCAATACCTGCCTGGAGTTGATGATTATGATACACAAAATGATGCCGTCAAGTTTTCGGAAATGCACAATAATACAAACTCATTTATTGGCTGCGAGGATCAAATTAAAAAAATATCCAGTATAAATAACTATCATGATGACGTAATTGGCAGCATAAACGGGACCGGCGAAGAATCAGAAACTTTCCAAAACGAGAATTTGATTTTGTTAGAGCCTTGCAATGATCTGCATACAAATATTCACTCTCGGTTAAGGCAGACAATTGCACCGTTCAACAAAGAACCTCATGAAAATTTATCTCCATCTCATTGTTACAGCACATCGACATCTTCTGAAAACAATGGACAGTTCTTTGGTTGTCAAGATGACTCAAACGTTTTACAAAAATTGAATACCTTTTCTCACGAGTTGCGTAATCCTGGTTCTAAAATGCACTGGCCTATGTGCTCTAATGAAGAAATTTTTGAGATGTGTTTTGAACTGCGTAAGTATTCAAACAAATCTGACCTGGCTCGGAAAGCAATGAAATCGCGGACATTTGTATCGCTATGTGACAACTCACATTTTTCAGAAAGTAATTACAATCGCGACAATCTGAACAAAACGGTGTTGTCTCAGCCTGTTGGAGAGCAATTACGTACCGAAGGCAGAAGCCAAGCAGAATTTCCGTATGTGGAATCAATTTTGTCATCTCCGAGCTGTCAAGAGCCTCAAATCAATCAACAATACGCAAGACCTGCATTAGAAAATTCTTCTGAATCTTCTGTAGTTGAAGATCATGTCAGTTCCAGTGTCGATTCATCCGAAATTGCTGATTCTGCTTTGAGCAAAACTTCAATGGAAAAACAGGAATCGCTTAAATTACTCTTGCCACTCAACGTAAAATTGGAAAAGAATCTGAATCTTGAATCAGAACCTGATTCTATAGTGAGTGCCGCAGAATCGGCAGTCGAAACCATCAAATGTTCGAAAAAACTTGGATCGTCAAATCTTTGCCATGACATCGAGTCTGCAGTTGCTTCTTTATGCTCGACTAATAGTTTAGAAATTAGTCACCATGATAATTCCTGTCGGAAACAAGTGTGCCTTGATGTACCGACCATGATCGCTTACATCGCCAACACGAGCAACGGCTACAGTCACTGTCTTTTTGAGGACAAATTCCTACGTCAGCAAGCGCTGTGGGAACAAGAGGAGCCTGTCAAACCCGTCATTGAAAAGTACTGGCGAGGTATGTTTTCTTTGAAAATGTGAAAAAATTGAATTTATTTCGAAAACTTCCTATCTTTGGATTTATCTTGAAAAGGTAATATGCCAATGTTGTTCTTTCAAATTAATCACATTTTAACAAAGTTTTCTGCATTTCTCATTGATTCCGTATTTTAATGCTGGAGAGTACAAATTCTGTGATAATATTCCGCATCGAATTCTTCCTCATTTATTGTGAACTTCTTTTCTTAGAATTCAGGTATTCATTATTCCGTAACCCCATTACTCCCAAAGATTGCGAGATTCTAGTGTGCCGAGAGGCTCTGATGCGATTTGAGAGCATCGTCGGTGTCATGGCCGGAGAGCAGGAAATCCAGCGAGCGAAACAACTCGTTCAGCGTCTCACTATCGTGCCTGATCAAGATGTACTCAAGGTACGTGGCGTTTCAACACAAATCTAACACTAGAACCTGACTTTTTAATATATTTTACAGCCTTTTACATGCTTGTGATAATAGCACGATTCAAATGATAGTTTATATCAATCATTACTCCTGCTATTATCTGCGGATACGCATTGAATAACATTCACACGACCCAGAGCTAAAGGGTTCAGATATAACTTCCTGATATGTTAACAAGTAATAATTATTCATACATGGGGCTTCATATTTCCGTGCTAGGTGGCGGGCTTGACTATGAGTTTGTTTTGCAGGGAGTCTTGAGAGTGTGTGGAGGCATCACAGTGAGTTCTCGTGCCAGATCAACTTTTGATGAGTAGTTATAACCTCCCTGCTAAGTTACCACTCAAGACTGCTCAGGTGCTCATAACCTAGCGCTGACTATCACTTGGCTACAGTAGTCCTTCTTAATATTTATAGGTAATAGATGAACATCACTAGCAATATAAGAGAGTAAATTTGCTGTAATGATATCAGACGGCAGGTTATTCGCTTTACACATACGTTAGCATAAATACATTATTTGTATGAAATATGTATATCACCATTAAATCATTTCATATTATAAAAGTTACTATAAATCTCACTTGTACTTCAACTGCACGTTGATTAGAGCCACTGGTAACGACTATATTAAGTAAATTACTATTTTCAGCATTAAAATATCATGTTGGCGTTATTGAATTTGAGGAAATTCTAAATTAAATGCTATTGAATTTCTCTTCTTCAAACGAAGAGAAACTTCAAACATTACGATGGATTCAAATGAACGACAAAGATGTACATTTTAAATTCCCCTGCACAATAATGATACTCAATGCAGCCTACGCCAGCAAAAGAAGACATGTCGTGTACTAGATTGTTCCCATTCCTGGTCTGGAATAGGTGTCTGGAATCTGAGGGTCTGCATCACTGCCCACGATAGCAATTACTGAATGATTGTCTTGGGACTCCGGGATAAGCAATCATTCTGGTATCATCCCAATGAAAGTAATATCAATTACTGAATAATTGTCACGGGACTCCGGGATTAGCAATCATTCCAGTAAGCAATCATTCCATATGATTAGAAATATTTTTCCTTTGGTGGTGTGCAAAACTACATATATCAATGTATCAGTGAAATACTACAAGTATCAATGAATCAAACAAGTCCTTCAATTTAGTGTCAATTAATGTAACGTAATTGAATCTTACAGGCATCAATATATTTTATTAAATGAAGTCTTCCTGGCGTTGGAAAATATATCTTAGTTTGTGAAATCTTAAAAGTATACATCGAAGTTTCTAAGCTTTGAAATCTTATGAGTATTAAAGCATCAATTAGTTAGTGAAATATTACATGTATCAATGTACCTCAGTTAATGAGATCTTACAAGCATCAATGTATCAAGGTGTTTAATCATATCATAATTGCAATTCCGGGATGTAAAAGTGAATGGTCGAGATAGAAATCATTTTTATTTGGTTTGCGTTTTTGTGTCCAAATCAGAAATCAATACGAGTTTAGTAACGATGATAAATGAATAACCTATGATAAATATAGACTTGGGTCGATGTAGAGACGGACTGGGCGAGGAGCAGAAGGGGCGTTCGACATGGCTGTATCCTGTCTCCGCTTCTCTCCAACCTCTACACTACGAGGGTGAGGAGAAAAGATGTTGGTGTGCGTGTAGGCGGCGAAAGGTTAAAAATGACTTGTTTTGTATGCTGATGATGCTGTGATTATGAGTGAAAATAGCGAAGAACTACTTTTAAGTATGCTGGACTGTGTGACTGAGTATGGGAGTGACTTCAATGTGAGATTCAGTGCGGTTGAGGATATGAGCAGAGTGTGGATGTTGAGAGGGGATGAGATTGTTAGGAGAAATGAGTATAGGTATTTTGAGGTGTGTGTGGACCAGGAGAGATGTCAGAGAACAAAGGCTGCGAATTTAAGGAAGGCGAATCAGTGGTTGAGTATACTTGGAAGCGCAGCAAAAGTGAGGGCGAGTAAGTATGAAGTATTGAGGGAAGTGTGGAAGAGTGTGGCAGTGCCGCAGTGCCTAGTACTATGTATGGACTGGATGTGAGAGCATATAGTGATGGTGAGCTAGATAAACTGAATTTGGTACAGAATAGAGTGGCGAGATTGGCACTATTAGCCCCCAGGCGGACTGCGGTAGAGGCCCTGAGAGGAGACATGGGATGGAGTGCCTTTAAAGGAGAGAAGAATGAGATCAGTTTTGAGGTATAAAGGGTGACTGGAGCGAATGGACGATCAAAGTTGGGCACGAAAGTTGTATATGTGGAACATGAAAGTGAACAAATTGGCACGTAGATGTCGGGCATTGATACGTAAGTGTGTATTATCAGTGTACTTATTGATAATTCGAGCAATAATGATTAAGAATGAACGAATCTGCTCAAAGTTTTTGCTCATCTGAACATTGCGGAATCGATCGTTTAATCGAATAATTTCTTCGAGTTGAACGGACAAAAATACGAACGGTTTCAAATACACAAAATATTTTCAGAACAAATCGATTCAAATGATGGACACAGACATTATAGGAATAATGAGGGGATAAATTTTACAAGATCCGGCGTGAGCAATCTGTTGGGGTCCAGAATCGCTATAGCTGATGCCATTTTTTGGTTAATACTTTCATTACTTTGTTAATATTACCTCTCGGCGTTCAGGCACATGACATTGTCTTCTCTTCGGGATTTATATCTTTGCGTTCCTCTCCTATTTGGTAACGTTGGGACGTCTAATGTTTACGGAATAAAGGATTAGTGTAGTTTGGCAGAAGCTGTTCTTTAATGCAGGTTTCATTGAAGACCAGAGAGTATTTCTTATTGACAATTTTCTTATTATTTTATAATAAGAAAATCGAGATAATATAATAAGCCGAATCGAGAAAAATAATAAGAAAATTGTCAATAAGAAATACTCTCTGGTCTTCAATGAAACCCGGAATAAAGGATTATGATCCCTTCTGGCTACAGTCGGGCCTCAGCGGGGTCGGGATTAACGCTGTCTCTTATACACATCTAGATGTGTATAAGAGACAGCTCCAAGTATGAACGCGTTCAAGAACAGACTAGATAAAGCTATGGAAAAATATATGTTCAGATTTGAAATGCCTAGCTCCTTATCGAACCCGGTGGAAGTCTAGTAGCTTCTTCAAACTATCGCCAGTCATGAAAAGATCCGGTCAAATGACACGAGTTTAGATTCTATGAACAAGGCACGAAATGGAAAAGAATCGGCGACAGGCCACATCAGGCCTACACTTCAGAGCCGACATCACTATGTTATGTTATGTTGCAGTCCCAGACCACGCTCCGCTTTCTGAGCGTCGGCAGCGTGGTCTGGGACTGCACCCAAAGAGTTCGACTCGTCGCTTTATATGGCGTGCCGAAGTATCGTGGATACGCACAAAGCTGCATGAACATTTTGTTCATGATATATTCCACCCAAATAAATTAAATGCTTCTAATTTTCTATGGCATATTTTCAGCAGTCTTGCACAGCTCCGTACACACATCAAATAATTTAATTGCGAATAATTTTTTCATATATCACTGCCCAAAATTTGAGATATTATTTTACCACCTGACTTAAGAAATGAATGTGGAATCAATTGCTATAAAACGTTCACTTAAATGATTTGACATAGAACTTCATGCTACTAAACGAACTCGTTTCCATTGAAGATTGTAGGGATCTCGCGAGATGTTTATTTTGGAAATTAAATTAAGTTATCTCATCAGGTTCCCTGGCAGAATTAAATGCCTAATGCATTTAATTCTGCCAGGGAACCAACAACAGCGCCTGAGTCTAAAACACTAAACTTCGCTGCTCAACTCAGTCGGCACTTGGCAGCAGGGTGTTCGATGAGCAGTGATTGTGAATGGTTGTCCATACACCTTGATCTCGCCTTGAAAACTGGTGTTACAGACTCTAACTCAAATTAGATTGTGAATTGTTTACTAAATATATATATCCATACTTCAACGTGAGGCTGTGAGCATCAGTGCGCAGTGGCGTGCCACAAGGAAGCGTCCTGGGGCCTATTTTGTTCGTTGCTTTTATAAATGATCTGCCAGAAGTAGTATCCAGCGTGTGCTCCATGTATGCCAACGACACAAAAGTTTATAATACAGTGAAGAATGCGTCAAATAAAGCGCAATTGCAAGATGATCTTGACAGCTTAGTTAACTGGGCTGATACGTGGCAGCTGCGGTTTAATGCTCTCTAGTAACGCACGTCGGCCGGCGTGCTTATTGTTTTTGTTTTTTTGCGTGTTTTTTGTTTATTTAACTGTGTATTTTTCGTGAATATTATTAACAAATAACTAACATTTTTTGCCAAGGTGCAAATAGGCCTGACGACCGGGAGGGTCTGAGGGGAAAGCACCTTTAAATAAAAAAATAACGAGCTAGGGCGTACGCGCCCGCAGGTCATCCCTCGTGGGGCAGCATGGAAATGACCTAAATAAAGTATATTTTTATAATTTTAGACCTTTTAGTTTCGTGGCCTCTGCAGCAGGGTAGCCGCGTTATTTGTTATAATTGTGTCACGATCAGCATGGACTCGCACCACCTGCCCGGTGGTAGATTAGCTCCTCGAAGATCTGCTGTCTGGTGAACATGACGTTGTCTTCGGCTCCAACTTGATTAGCTGCTTGCAGTCTTCCCAAGAATCAAGTTCATGTTTTATTGGTCGGCTGCAGTGCAAACTCGAACCTATGTCAGGAAAGAAACTTTGGTAAGCTAATTTATATCTTGAACATATTTTGTGCTTTTTCAAATTATCAATCGCTTCCATTATTTTGATTTGTATATATACATATCTGAATATTGTGGATATTTTCGGTTTTTTCAGGTAATATCTCGCGAATGCACGGTTCCTGTTGCGATCTAAAACAATTCCCAGTACATTTTCAAAGTTAACCAAATGCCTCTAAACAGAACATCGACCTCGGCAGTCTGTCACAGCCGACGTTGTGGACGCCAAGCTGCCTATCACAATAGTGTTCGTCACACCGTCAGGTTGACTAGCTGCCGCCACTTCAGAAAGCCATTGGGATCAACGTGTTACCGTAGTTACCGTAGTTACCGTAGTTACCGTAGTTACCGTGTCGTGCCATTGTCTAGTTCAAGCAGAACTCCATGTCTACACTCTTCTCGGTGGCAATACCCAGGATAATAAATCAAGAACTTCGACAGCGTTCATAAATTTGACCTAAAGACCCGACTCTAAAATAACCCCGGAAGCTACATCATGAAGAAAACTTTGCAGGGCACCGTCTTCGTCGTTTTTAAACATGAAAAAATGGGTTTTTGCAAAATAAGTAGTCGAACTTCCTAAGACCTTGAGGATCGTCTACTGTTTAATGGGCTAAACCAGTTTATTTCTTCGAAAATCAGCATCATAAGTCGGAATTAACGGAGCAGAAATCTCCGAACCTTCTGAGATCTTCGACCGAACCTACAACGCATTACGCGTCTCGCCATGTGCTGGGCTGAGCTCTGAACGAACGTACAAAACCCGATGAATCAGAAACCTCGATCTGCAATCGGAGCAAGTGTGAAGTAATATAAAGACTTTGTAAACAAAGTTTAATGAGTAGACGTTGACTTTAGTGAAGGAAAGACTCCCGTATTTTTTAGAAAATGCACTCAATTTCAGTTGCATTATCAAGTGTATCGCGTCGGTGGCCAGTAGCGACGTTACTCTCCCAACTGGTAATCTTCTGCGTATGATCAACTATGAATTTTATTGAAAAAACGATCTCTTGGCTGCTCAGCTTTGTGAAGATGTCGTCTCGGAAGAACATCGTGCCAAGAAACTTGCCACTTGGGGAAATTACTGCACCCGAACAAGCGATCTTCTTATTCACGGACGCAGGCTTAGCAAGGATAACGGCTATCAGCGAGTTCGATCTCAGTTCTGTGCGCCAGTTTCTGGTCAGAATTGGCGAGTAGGCCAGACGGTAAAGCACACAACAGAATTGGAGCAGTGAGTTGCGAGTTCAAGACCGCAACAAGCTGTGAATGTTATGCGATGTTAAGAATCGGCGACAGGCTGACGGCCTAATAAACAATGAAACGCTATGAACATGAACAATAATGACTACTCATTTGCGCTCATTCGCATAGGCAGAACAAAGGTGAGTCCACAACTATTGTAATTACTTTATTATTTTCAAACAGCTTAAGATAGAACTGGCAATAGTCTCTCAAATTGAGTACAAAAATAAGATCATTTTTTTATTATACAACGCGTTTCAAATTTACTGCCATTTGTGGGAAAAATGTAAACGAAAAAATCCGAAATGTCGCGCACCAAACGGCATAATGAAGAGGACCTAGCGACGTCATCAAAAGATATTTTATTCTCATTGTTACTTCATTTCACTAGTCATGACATGCCGTTTGATTTTGTACTCATTGAATATTACTCTCAGAAAAATAAATTCAACTTTATTGTTATAGGAGTGCAGACAATGGAAGAGATTAAAATTTGATTTTTTAAACAGTGATTTCTCTCCATAAGTTATAAAAACCTTCACATTACAATTCTCCATCTAAACAGTCACAATGGAATGGAAATTTTGGCCAGATACGTCATTTCATTTGTTTATTCAAACATCATCAATTTACTTTAGCATCAACCTTATATATATATAACAAATTATTTATCAAAATGATCAACATGGAAGTGTTTTATTAACTGTAAATTAAAGAAAAAACACTTCGTTAGTGTAAGGATCAAAGATTCTTCACATGAAGGGTGTGAGTACAATCCAACTTTGCCCCTTATATATAATTAGAGCAAAGCTTGTAAGACATCTTATATATAAAAACTTGTAAAAGACCCGTTTCAATCGAATGAAAATTTATCCTTTTACGTAGAACAGGCAGCTGTAATACGCTAAGAAATAGATGTTATCTATGGGGTTTATAGTTTAAATTTTTCGCGATCATGGCAATCAGAGTTGGCGAATTTCTTCGTCCATTTCCTCGTCTGCTCATTTGTACAGTTTTTTCGGAGGTTCACATGCGTGATACAATCCGGGAATAATCTCTTTTATTACTAAATGAATATATTTGTACCCTAAATGGTCACTTTGACTTATTATACTTTTTCTTTAATCCCTCTCGCACATAACTTCGTCTATGAACAGATATGCCTGAAAATAATCAGATCTGTGTGGCAATGATATTTGTATGGCCAGACGTTCACGCAAAACTTTAACGTTTGTCGCATCTAGCGACAAATTGAGAAGATTAAGAATTACAATGCTTTTGATGTTCTGACATTCTTCAAATAGTTCGAATGAACCAACGGTTTCACGATATTCTTGGTCTAAGCACATTGCTTCTTCACGTTAACTTTTTTTCTGTTTGTTCGCAACAAAGCTAATTTGTCCCATTCTATTTAGGGCCTTATTCAAGATAATGATTCTAACTCATATACATAGTTACATATTGTGAAGACCACATGTCTTACACAAACGCCTTAATTTTATTAACAAAAAGTAACGTTTAGTTTAATCAAATCCCCCGAGAGTTAGAACGGGAAGTTAGTCTGGCACGTTTTAGGCTGCGGCGGCGGAGTGACTTCGTTCTTCTCGAAATTCGGCACTGAATAATGCCTCGCCATCCGCACTCCGCCGGGTCCGCGGCGCTTCCTCGGGTCCAGCAGGGTCGGCTGCTTCTTGCTCCGCGCTGAAACAGCGAGAGAAGGCAATCGTAAACTCCTCTGGGGCAAGCAGCCTGCGCAATCTCTTTAGGGACGTCGGCGCGCCGCGCTGCATACACACCAAACAAACGTTCCTTCATAAGATCAGTTTGGTGGCAACTAAAGTCCTTTTGATTATTGCTGATTTAACATGACTCATGACAAATTTTTTCAAAGTTCTACGATTTTATTGCAATATCATTATGTTATTGGGATCAACAAGGAGATTAGGTTCATGCAAACTATCACATAAAAGTTCTTGAATCGTTAGAGTTCTGTAAAATATGATTTTAAAAAATTACAACTGACAATATTAATTAATTGTTTGAACTCGCATCCTGGCAAGCACTGAAAGCAAACAATATATACCTGCAATGAAAGCAGGCGGCGTTGTGGGTTGCCCTTTGAGCAGAAGGTTGTCGCGCATGCGCTCGGGAAGCGTCGACAGCAGACGACATCTTATTTGCGTCTGCACGCTGGGCACGTAGCGCGGCTGCCATAAAACACGTCAGTCGTTGACATACAATTCCAAAATAATTCTTACATAATATCTGATGGCTGATCAGTCAGCCATCAGTCAGGAGTTGGAGATCCAACTATCAGGGAGTTCAACAGGCTAAGCTTATTAGCTTATAACTGTGGGATAGCGGATCTTTGGTGACGCTCTATTTACGATGAGCAAATAGTGAGGACAAGTGGAAAATTATTGTTTCTGATCATTGTAGATGTATCATCGAAATAAATGTTGTATAGTCACAGTAACAATAATATAATATCATTATAACCTGCATGGAAATAAATTTTATTGAGCGGTAGGCGGTTGACAGAATGTCTAAAAATAGCGACATACCAAAGGTTCTTGTCCAGCGACGGCGTCCACAAGATCGGCGATGACCTCCTTGATTTTCTCAGTGGGTTTGGCCTGACTCATGTGGTGGTTGACCATCACTTTGAAGTCCTCCAAGTATTCTTGTCCGTACGACCGACGTACCTCCGCCGGACAGTCCAACCAAGTCTGGTCCAACGAACGGTGCAGATTTTCCACGTTTGTGATCGGAGTTTTGTGCTCAGAAGGAAAACCTTTACATTATACATTATTTGTATATCTGGATTCTCTTGATATGCAAGAGTAAGTATGTAAGGCTAAATCAATACATGCAATAAAAAATTAAAGTATTTAAATTACGTAAAATTTTCTAAAATTAATGAGTACGACTGTGAAACATATACTGCGCGGGGCAAAAATATACAATATAATCTTTCTATTTTCTTTGCGAACTAAACATCTTTGTAGGTAAGAGATTAATACTTCGGAATGCTCCATAAGAATATTCTTCAATTGTTGGAATAAATTTCGATGCAATCTATCTATATTGCGCTTTTATGCTTGACTATAAACAAATTTGCATAATTATTGTTTGTTGCATCGACTGGATTGAACAAAACTAACTTCTCATTTCGACCGTTTAATAAGAAACCCTTGAATGCAAATAATCCTTATGGAATATTTTGTTACCCACGAAGGGTAGATGTACGCAGGGAACTCTAACAAATCATTTCACACTGGATAATTTTCATTTACAGCGCCTTTTCTCATTTATGGAAAAAATGCCCTATACTATAGGCTATTGGGCTCGTCATGTCCGTCCGTCCGTCTGTCTGTCTGTCCGTCCGTCTGTCCGTGATTTCACGTTTTCATCGACGAGAAATGGCGCTCTCTGTCACTCACTGCCGCAAGTACCGAGTGATATTTTTTAATAGTAAACTATCAAAAGGTGCTGAATCTTAAACAAGAAATGTTTAGCTTGCAAAATATTTCAACATCTTTTCTTCAATCGGTAAACATTGTCACTTGAAAGGTACGAAACTTTCTGGTAAGAACTTTATGACACAATTTATTGAGTTTGAATTTATTACAATTCATGGCTCTTTTCTGTTCTATTTCATTGAAGTTTACCCTCTGGCAAGATTATAACTCTTATTAACTTACATGAACTTTATTGTTGATTTAGTGATTTAGTCAAAGCCAAAGATCATAAACTCTGTAAACATCCGCCGCCGTCCCTTCCTCCACAGTCACTAGTGTGCTTGAACGGAGTACACCTTCGTGTCTTCGCAGGAAGAAATATGCAGTAAAAAATGCCAGTTCAGATAAATCATTTCTGATGATTTTCAACGTCGTTAAAAAAATATTTTAACGTATTTTCAGATACGTAAAAAGTTAATGGAGATCTCAAGCATAAAGTCAGCTAACTATTGCTGTTCAATTACCCGAGCGCAATTAAGGTCAAGGTGACTGGCGCCGAAGTATTAGATGCCAACGGGCCGCACAGCAATGCAGGAAATGGTAAAAGATCAACTAATTCTTACGTTACTGCGTGGAAATCTAACGGGAAAACTTGCTGTTTGCTGCCAGCTTCCGTTAAATGACCGTTTTGTTTGATATGATGCATTGAAATCATTGCAATTGCATAAAGATATTAAATATGGCAGAGACAGCAACCATTTTCAATGAGCGCAGGAAGGCCATTCAGAAAAAGAGTATATTTATTTTATGAAAGCTCTACGACGAGCTCTCAGTTATGAGTTTGAAGACCTCATATCCTAGAAGTTATCTCAACTTCCACAGGACTTAATGACCTCATATTTATCTATCAGCCTTAAGCCTTTCCGGTGATATTATATTCTGGCGATAGCGGACCGTAAGACCTCTAGGAATCAGGAGCACTTTGAATCAGACATAGACGAACTGCCCCCCTTACGCCGCTTTTGCCGACGCACCGGCATCGTTTAGATAAATAAGGAGCTTCTAGCCTCAAGCTTTTGCTCCACACACCTATCGATAATTACAATATCAAATATTCAACTATATTTATGTGATTTTCACAGTCGGGCACAGAGCACAGTAACTTACGTCCGTCTCGGGCTTCATCTCTCTGCGTCCACATTGTGAAAAGCCAGAAAGAGCGAAATAGTCGGACGCTGCAGGTTCGACGCTGCTAGTGGTACGGAACTACTGAAAAAACTGTTCAAAATTTTTTGCAGTGTGACTTGTGCAAAATTTTCAGCAATGATTTATTGTTGAAGTTATCGAAATATTAAACTATTTTTTGATTATTTAAAAATATGCGATTTGTTTTTGGACGTAAGTGAAGAAGCAAAATTTTGTTTGGAACATTTCAAAGCAGATTTATTACACTATTCCTGATTTCAACCTAAATATTCATGAGAAACGCAAACAGAACATGAATCAAATTGGAGCAGCGAATTGCGGGTTCGATTTCAACTAGCTGCGACAGTTCTGATCAAAACCAGTGAGATAGTCAGACGGTTAAGGCCTTGATTGAGAACCGAGAGGCTTCGAACAGGCTCGGCTCTTCCCTATGCGTTCCTTCACTAATTAGGATAGACTTTACTCCACTCGCAAATGAGATGACGATATGGATTTTTCCATACTTACCCAGCTATTTATTTATAAGCGTCGACCAGTAACAAAAAATATGTAAACTTTGTATTGAAAGAGTTTTAATGAGAGGAAATTTAAAGAAACTTTGAATATTATTGTTCATCATGTCTGCGACTTTTTTACTTTTTTCGAGATGTAATCGGGTTGTAATTTTTATTCTCCATTGAATGGTATACTCGGCATTCCTTGATCAGCCTCCTTGTTGTAGATATTTTCTACCGAAAAATAGTTATGATCGAGTCTGCTGATAAGCGGAGGGAAAATCCCGCATACTAGCTGCTCAAATGGAGACGTTGTGCAATGTTTGAGGGGAAAGAGACGTCGTAAATTACTCAACTGTCAGTTCACGACGGGTGGCATGGTAAAGGTGAAGTCAATGAGGGGCGAAGAATAATACGTGGCCAGTGGTCGGCCTAGTCCAATTAGTTATAGCTGACCGTTGGCCATTCCTCGGACACCTGAAAGCGACCAGTTGCCGCGAAGAAGGGTCTGGCTAGGAAAGCATATTACAAAGAGTACAAGCTCGAGGGTAGCGACTGGCCGAGCTTTGGGCAGATCAAGGATTTTACACGATGATCGCGAAAACCTTGCTCTCAGACTTCGCAGCATTTTGACTACAAGCCTTAAGCACAGCAAAACTGGAACGTTAGGTTGCGTGTTCGAAATTGCAATAATATGCTGTGAATATTCTGTGATGTTCGCTGGGCAGGGTGGCCCAGTGGTTAAAGTTCAGAGTACCAAGATTGGCGCAGAGAGGCGCGGGTTCGATCCCAGCTCTGTGCGCTAGTTTCTGGTCAGAATCGTCAAGGAGGCCGGGCGGTTAAGCACAGCAGAATTGTAACAGTGAGTTGCGAGTTCGAGACCGCAAAATGCTGTGAGTGTTCTGCGATGTTAAGAATCGACGACAGGCCTACGGCCTACTAAGCGCTGAAACCGCTATTTATTTATTTATTTTATTATGTTAATAGTCGGCGACAGGTTTAACCATGGTTGAACTAACGTAGTATACATATTTCAAGCATGGGTTTAACGGCCTGGGACCATACTTTCAGAACTCGCTAAGTAAACGTAAGTACTTACGCTCTATTTCCTTGTCTATGATTGGTGAATTTTGCTTGAAAGGCCGTCAATGATTGGCAGATGAACTTACGATCTCATAACTTTTTTTGAAAGTATGGCCTCTGATCAACACTGACACTGCTATAATAGTATAAACCACTAATATAATAAAACCGATTGATTGGATAATATGAAATAGATGATAGCATTCAGTATTTTTCAATAATGTTTTTTTTTACAATTGTATTGAATATTATTTGCGTTATCGGTAGATTTGTAGCTTTTTCATCTCATGTCCAGCAGTTTGGATGACTCACGACCAGTCAATCAAACTGCTCTCAAATTATCAGGAGAGTTGCAGGCCAAATATATTGGCAAGATAATTAACATTGTAATTGTAAAATCAATTTCAAAATATCTTGACATAGAACTCAGAATCGCATTCTTAATAGGATGTAAGGATCAATATGGCAGGGTGGCCCAGTGGTTAGAGTATCAGAGTGCCAAGATTAGAGCAGAGATGTGCGGGTTCGATCCCAGTTCTGTGCGCCAGTTTCTGGTCAGAATTGGCGAGTAGGCCAGACGGTAAAGCACACAACAGAATTGGAGCAGTGAGTTGCGAGTTACGAGACCGCAACAAGCTATGAATGTTCTGCGATGTTAAAAATCAGCGAGAGGCTTACGGCCTAATAAACAATGAAACGCTATAAACATGAACAATAATGACTACTCATTTGCGCTCATTCGCATAGGCAGAACAAATGTGAGTCCACAACTATTGTAATTACTTTATTATTTTCAAACAGCTTAAGATAGAACTTGCAATAATCTCTCAAATTGAGTACAAAAATCAGATCATTTATTATACAACGCGTTTCAAATTTACTGCCATTTGTAGGAAAAATGTAAACGAAAAAATCCGAAATATCGCGCACCAAACGGCATAATGAAGAGGACCTAGTGACGTCATCAAAAAAGTTTTTATTCACATTATTACTTCATTTCACTAGTCATGACATGCCGTTCAATTTTGTACTCATTGAATGTTACTCTCAGAAGAAGAAATTCAACTTTATTGTTATTGGAGTGCAGACAATGGAAGAAATTAAAAATTTGCTTTTTTAAACAGAGATTCCTCTCTCTATAAGTTATAAAAACCTTCACATTACAATTTTTCATTTAAACAGTCGCAATGGAATGGAAATTTTGGCCAGATACGTCATTTCATTTGTTTATTCAATCATCATCAATTTACTTTAGCATCAACCTTATATATATAACAAATTATTTATCAAAACGATCAACATGGAAGTGTTTTATTAACTGTAAATTAAAGAAAAAAATACTTCGTCAGTGTAAGGATCAAATATTCTTCAAATGAAGGGTGTGAGTACAATCCAACTTTGCCCCTTATATATAATTAGAGCAAAGCTTGTAAGACATCTTATATAGAAAAACTTGTAAAAGACCCGTTTCAATCGAGTGAAAATTTATTCTTTTGCGTAGAACAGGCACCTGTAATACGCTAAGAAATGGATGTTGGTTTATCTATGGGGTTTATAGTTTAAATTTTCCGCAATCATGGCGATCAGAGTTGGCGAATTTCTTCGTCCATTTCCTCGTCTGCTCATTAATTTGTACAGTTTTTTCGGAGGTTCATATGCGTGATACAATCCGGGAATAATCTCTTTTATTACTAAATGAATATATTTGTACCCTAAATGGTCAATTTGAGTTATTATACAAGGCCTAATGTGGAATAATTACATAAATTACTTTTTCTTTAATACCTTCTTGCACATGACTTCGTCAATGAACAGATACGCCAGAAAGTTATCAGATCTGTGTGTGCATTGATATTTGCATGGCCAGACCTTTATGCAAAAATTTAAAGTTTGTCGCATCTAGCGACAAATTGAGAAGATTAAGAATTACAATGCTTTTGATGTTCTGACATTCTTCAAATAGTTCGAATGCACCAACGGTTTCACGATATTCTTGGTCTAAGCACATTGCTTCTTCATGTTAACTTTTCCCTGTTTGTTCGCAACAAAGCTAATTTGTCCCATTCTATTTAGGGCCTTATTCAAGATAATGATTCTAACTCATATACATAGTTACATGTTGTGAAGACCACATGTCTTACACAAACGCCTTAATTTTATTAACAAAAGTAACGTTTAGTTTAATCAAATCCCCCGAGAGTTAGAACGGGAAGTTTTCCTCGGGTCCAGCAGGGTCGGCTGCTTCTTGCTCCGCGCTGAAACAGCGAGAGAAGGCAATCGTAAACTCCTCTGGGGCAAGCAGCCTGCGCACTCTCTTTAGGGACGTCGGCGCGGCACGCTGCACACACACCAAACAAACGTTCCTTCATAAGATCAGTTTGGTAGCAACAAAAGTCCTTTTGATTATTGCTTATTTAACATGACTCATGATAAATTTTTTCCAAGTTCTACGATTTTATTGCAATATGTTTTCGGGATCAACAAGGCGTAAATGTATGATGTAGTTTCAATAGGTTCATTCAAACTATTGCAAAAAAAGTTCTTGAATCGTGATAGTTCAGTAAAGTATGATTGAAAAATAATTACAACTACAACTGACGATAGGAATCAATTGTTTGAACTCGCATCATGGCAAGCACTGAAAGCAAACAATATATACCTGCAATGAAAGCAGGCGGTGTTGTGGGTTGCCCTTTGAGCAGAAGGTTGTCGCGCATGCGCTCGGGCAGCGTCGACAGAAGACGACATCTTATCTGCGTCTGCACGCTGGGCACGTAGCGCGGCTGCCATAAAACACGTCAGTCATTGACATACACTTCCAAAATAATTCTTACGTAATATCTGATGGCTAATCCTAAAGTCAGGAGTTGGAGATCAATCTTCAGGGTGTTCAAGAGGCTAAGCTTAAAACTGTGGGATATAGTAGGTCTTTGGTGAGGATCTTGTTATTATGAGTATAGTGTATAGTGATGAATACTGGAAAATTGTTGTTTCTAATCATTGTAGATCAGTGGTTCCCAAACTTTTTCAGGCTGGCGCCCCCTTTGGCTCCCTAGTGAATTTCTAGCGCCCCCCACAGACACATATAAAATCATGCGCCTTTTTCTTGAAATTTAGTACGCTGCAATTCTAACAGATAAAGGTTAAACACAAATGTGTATTTCATAAATAGGGCCCTTTTAGTGAACCAATGTGTTTTTCATCTGTTTTAACCGTTCCAGCACTAGAAACCTAGGAGGTCTCGGGCAAATTTACGGCCGGACTCGTACGTGGCCGGTCTCACGACCAACCTCCAAATTCAGTTATCAAGGAATATCACCCAAACTAATGAACGCATCTCAATAAAACTTGGAACATGTATTCATCAGAACTTAACGGTGACGTTTAGCTTGCGAAAATTTTTTAATATCACCTCCATTCGTGAGTTATATTGCGATACAGGCCGAAATTCGCAGTGATCAAAGAATTTCTTCCAAACTACCGAACAGATTTGAACGAAATTTTGAATATACGTTCCTAACTACCAAATGGTGTTTTTTAGATTGAAAAAAATTTATTTTACCGTCGTTTGCGAGATTTTTTTCATTTTACCGTCAATCTTGATTTCACACTTCCTTATTCGCTTTCGTTCGCAAGTTATATGCCGGACAGTCCAACCAAGTCTGGTCCAACGAACGGTGCAGATTTTCCACGTTTGTGATCGGAGTTCTGCGCTCAGAAGGAAAACTTTTACATTACATATACGGATTCCTTGCATATGCAATAGTAATTATGTAAGCCTAAAATAAAAAAAATTAAGGTTTTTAAAGAACGCACAATTTTATAAATTAAACAGTACGACTGTGAAACATATACTCCACGGGGCAAAAATATGTATACAGTATAATCTTTCTATTTTTTGCGAACTAAACATAGTTGTTGCAAGAGTTAGATTCAACTTGGGAATGCTCCCTGAGAAAAGTTTTCAATGGTTGGGATAAATGTCCATGCAATCTATCAATAATGCTCTATTATGCTTGACTAAGAACAAAGCTGCGTGATTATTGTTTGTTGTGTCGACTAGATTGAACAAAACTATCTTCTGATTTCGACCGTTTAATAAGCAACTCCTGAATGCAAATAATACTTATGGAGTAATTTGTTTCTCATGTAGGGTAAAAGTACGCAGGGAGCTCAAACAAATCAGTTTCGCGCTGGATAATCTATATTTATGAATGTTAAACAACGGAAAAGTGCTGAATCTTGAACGAGAAAGGTTTAACTTGCAAAATCTTGCAAGATGTTTTCTTAAGTCGGTAAATATAGTCACTTAAAAGGTACGAAACTTTATGGTACGAACTTTATGACACAATTTATTCAGTTTGCATTTATAACGATTTGCAGCTCTTTTATGTTCTATCCGTTGAATTTCACCCTCTCAGGTGAGTTAATCGGATTTAAAATCTGATTAACTCACATAAACTTTATTGTTGATTTAGTCAAGGCCAAAGATTATAAACTCGATAAACGTCCACCATCGTCACTTCCTCCAGTCACTGGTGTACTGCATGGGATGGAGTACACCTTAGTCTCTTCACAGAAATTTGCACGAAAAATGTCCGTTCAGATAAATCATTCTTGATATTTTTTTAACAACATTAAGAAAATACTTTAACGTACTTTCAGATACGTAAACAATGTAATAGAGATCTTAAGCATAAAGTCATCTAACTATTGCTGTTCAATTGCCCGAGCGCAAGTAAGGTCAAGGTGACTGGCGCCGAAGTATTAGATGCCAACGGGCCGTTGAATGAGAAGCATATAAGCGTTCATGAGCGCACAGCAATGCAGGAAATGGTTAAAGATCAACTAATTCTTACGTTACTGCGTGAAAATCTAACGGGAAAACTTGCTGTTTGTTGCTAGCTTCCGTTCAATGACCGTTTTGTTTGATATGCCGCATTGAAATCGTTGCAATTGCATAAAGATATTAAATATGGCCGAGACAGCAACCATTTTCAATGAGCGCAGGAAGGCAAATCAGAAAAAGAGTATATTTAATTTATGAAAGCTCTACGACGAGCTCTCAGTTATGAGTTTGAAGACCTCATATCCTAAGAGTTATCTCAACTTTCACAGAACTTTATGACCTCATATTTATCTATCAGCCTTAAGCCTTTCCGGTGATATTATATTCTGGCGATAGCGGACCGTAAGACCTCTAGGAATCAGGAGCACTTGAGATGAAACGCATCCTAGAGTAATGACCGTCAGTATCATCGAATAACTTCAGTTCATAGTGCGTAATAAAAAAATATAATTTAAATAAATGCTGACGCGCAGCGCATATAAATGAAGATTATATCGGTTTCGTTCATTGCGATCCGAAGGGTTTCTTTAGCCCTCTAAATTTTAACTTGAATTTAATCCAGAGTTCAAATAGCACCAAAGTTTCAGGACGTAAATGTTTCAGGAATTTAATAACTCGCCTCCTTAGTGTGAAAATCCCTTGATTTGAAACTTCACGCATGAATGGATATGAAACGGATGGGCAGGCGTTTAATTGGCATGAAATGGCAGGCCATGGGCCTATTTATTCAGTGCCGACATTTCTATTCTATTCTATTAATTGGCTCACCTGTAGAGCGTGGGCTCGACGGTGTGGACGGAGATGTTCCACTTCCTCATCTCGAGTCTTAGACCGTCAGCAAAGGACACGGCGGCGTGCTTGCTCATGCTGTACGCGGAGAACCCAGGGAACGTGTAGCGCCCTGTGATGCATATTGATTATGTAATAAATATTAATTAAACCGGTATGTTACGGAAGGTTTATTTACGGCTACACTAAATAAGACTTCATTTACTATTGTTTTATTAATCTTGTTCGAAGTTGGTATATCGCTTTGATATAATACACAACAAACCAGATATAAGGGTTTGATGTATGCTACATGCATTCTTGGTTACGGTGTGTAAATTAACCCATCATTCTAGACCACGCTCCAACAGTTTGGTTCAGGGGAGACAGAAAATAAATGTTGTGACTGGTGAAAATTAAACATGCAATCAGGTACTGAAACAAGTTACTTTACAGAAGCACATGGTGAATATTGAAAATAATTGTTCAAATATTTTTCTTATAAGTTTTTATAACATACAAACTTGTTCAGCACTGAAAATATATTTTTTCCTAAAACACTTTAATCGAGATGACTCATACTCTGTTAGCAAGTTGTAATATTACTGTTGTAAAAACTGCAGAGAAATTAAAGTGTAAGAAATACAGTTGATGAATTGTGAGATGAACCATGGCGATAAAAAATTTTACCATGCAGATGAAATAACATGAAAAAATTTGGAGTTCGGCGATTCGTTTCGTGGACTGCACATGTCCAGAAAAATGCTCTTGTATTGAATAAAATTTAGCAAACTGCAAATTTGCACAGAACCGGACTGAACGCGATTCTTCTCGTCTTGTTTGTGCGAACTTCATTTGGCCCAAGATATCATCAGGCTCTTTTACGTAGCCGGCCATTACAATCGTGATCTATGGTCCCCTTAGGAGCGAAAACACGCTGCCTGATTCGCGCGCCTGTAGTCAGACTGGGCTATTTTGTGATGAAATCTGCATGCTTGCGAGTCAGAAACATTCACGATGCTCTAAAAGGGTTTTGATGGGAGCCATCTTATTGCTTGATTTTTTAATAAAGATCTATAAACAAATACTCTCTATCTTAATAAACAAAATAAACCTCAAGCTCGCTGCTTTATAGTAGACAGGCCAGCGCCAAACATCCAAAGGCCTGCTATTACCAAACCACGGCAGACCTTCAAACTACAAAATATTTTACTTACGTACAATAAATGAATTTTATATGCAGGCAAATCAGGCTCAACGGTCAGGCCCTATAATGATATTAATTGCTCGCTAGCAGCGACAATCAGTTCCCTCACTCTGAAGACTTGTTTTGGTGTAAATTGCTTCGGCGCAAACCAAAAAATTGCTGATGTCCGTATGCAATTACGAAACAATTATTTAATTTACAGCGGGATATGGAAAAAATACCTTTGCGATTACAGTTTATGTGAAAGAATTGGATTGTCTAAATGAAATTATGCTGATGTGTTTCAATACTTTGGGCACAGGCAACGTCATTACATTATTCATCTTCTTTCATAGAACGTCCAATATTCATGAAGGGATTAGATCATGAAGAAAGATAGTTTAAATATTTTGCACAAATTTGCTCAGTTTGAAGCTGTATTCAATGTTAGGTCATCGATACGTCCGAGGTTTGTGCTGGAATTACGTCAAGCCTTCCTGACCGTTTCAGCGATGACACGCACAAACCGACGGCGCCGGATGACATTCACGCCACAAAGGATTAGTGGAGTCATTCTTGGTGCCGCCTCTTGCATGCGGCATCATTCCATCAGAGTCAACTATAAATAAATACGCTATGAGTAAACCTTATATAAACTCCTAGATCTCGGCAATAGGTTGCAGTTCACGATGAATTTTACCACCACATTGATGAAATATTTTAGAGTTTGTGAGACATACATTTGGTCAAAAAGGTTCATCATCTCGCTGAAGGACAATCGAAGTATACGAAACCTGTCCAAATTTTTTATCAAAATTGGTGTATGTGTTGCTGAATATCTAACTTCAACATCAACTGTACGATGATGAATGCACTATGCATTTACTAAGTCATTGCCTGAATAATGATGAAGTCAGTCATAGGGAGTGCCTCGTGAAAACGAGTTTCGAGTTGAGCATTCAGTTCATATTCAGCCTACCCAACACTCGAGAACGGATCGCGGCTGATATTGAAAATTCGGCGCAATCGCTTAACGAGGAAACATAATTTTCGTTTCAACAGTGACGGTTCAACCACTCATTCAGTGACTCGAGGCAACGACAATTATGTTTTTCCGAGACCTCATAAGTTGTACAAAAAACGAGTTGATTGTCATGCGTTGCGAATGCGTCATGTCGGCCTGAGATGCGCACACTGATTGAAATTGTCTACATGCCCAGCACGTGCACAACAATGTCGTCATTTTCAGGAGAAAATTTCTCTTAAAGTCACTATGTTGTTCGTGAATTCTTCGATTATTATCGGAAATTAAACATCAAATTCTACGTTTAGTTGTTTCGCTACTATTGTCTGCTGCTCATCAAGATTTTTATTTAATGTACTGCACCGCATGAATTTTTTGAACATTCGAGCCCACGCAGCACTGGGTTTTTTGCGGGCAGTTTCAGTAATTTTTACTCCTCCTGCACTGCAATGCATTGAATTAGTTATTATAATGAGCATATATTCTTAAACCGTGTCCTTGATTAGTCGCCAGCTACACACGAACACGTACGGTGTTCAAATATGTACTTAAAATCTGTTTAAATCAGCTTTAATAAATATTCACACTTGCGTGAATAAGAATAATTCCCGATAATACTCCCGATATCACGACTGATAATTTTTCCATATAACTGTGGATAGAATGTTTCGTGAAACTCTAATGGAAAATACTCGGCAAGTGTAGCGTGCTGCCACATATGCAATCCTGTAATTAAGTTAGCATTTCTAGTCCAGTATAAATACTGCACGTATTGGGGAATGAAGGCGCATAAAGTTAACAGTTTAAAGATTCAACGCTGGTCTCGCAGCGGCCCTCAAGAGAACATGCTGCGTCATCAGGGGGCGAAGGCCCCAGTAATATCAAGAGGACGGAGCGCGCAAAACATGCATCAGCGTCGAGGTCTCCTTGCGACCAGTACAGCGATTTCTGATTCTCAAGGTGTTCTATTGCATTTCATTTTCGAACTACAATGAAGTAACTGGTCAATGTTAGATGCCATCACAACTGAATTTAGAATGTCAGTTACGATTTTAAGTAAAATTCCGTCCCTGTATTTCATACAGAATATGCAATGATTGTGAACTATTCGCAACTCAAATTAGACTCAGCAATCATTCCCTCGGCTTTTAGCTGCAGAGGCAAGTGGAGGTAAATTGAAGTGCTTGCAAATATAACATTCAATGGAACCAGAAATACACGATTTGATATAAGCTTCACAAAGCCAAAGTACATTCACAAGCCCGTTACTGCATTAGATACTTCGACGATCTGATGATGACTTAAAGATCATCAAAGCTGCATGGCATGAAGATATCTGAAGAACTACTTGAGTATATGAGTGCGTTAAGCACGTTCTCTCATCATGGAATCGATGTTCAGAGATGCAATCATCTGAGAGGTTCGGCGCACAGTTAAGAAGCTTAATTAAAAGTGCGAGCTGCAATACTCATCTACAGATCTTGCTACTCCAACGACATCGAATGTGTAAATTTACATCAATGATCAAGGTTATATATGGGTAGAATGGAAACCGCGATTCGAGTAAATTATCCTGCATTAAAGTGAGAGCTCAGGCAAGAGGCGTTTAGGTGCAAAGTTATTTTGAAGACTAGTTTTTGTGTTCAGGTCGTTAATGGAAACTTTCATTGGCATAATTTGTCGAGACAATTTTCATGATCATTCAAGATGAGCCGACTAAACATAGGCTATATAAATCATATATTATCTTATCTGAAAACTTAAGTCACACTTATTTCATTACTTTTTCGTGTGCCGGCGAGCTTGAATTTAATGTGAGGGAAATTAAATTTAAGACGACCGACTGTAGCATGTCGAAAATATTTCTAAAAAAAATCAGTAAATTTGTGAGGAAAATTTTATAGCAGATGAATAAAGTGTGAAAACGTTGGCAAAGCATGTAAGTAAATTTAAAAAAATTGTGGAAAAACGGACATAGTTGCACAATAAAAGTTTTTTAGCCGAAGGATGTATAAAACCACACGAGTATGCCATGCAATACGGAGTCAATGATAAACATTGATATGCCTCAGCAAATAAATAATTTTACTCCATTTCACTAAAGCGAGAACCTCCTCAATAACGCACTCAATAAATTTTCTTTTGCATTTGGATTAAATATTCTCGTAATGGCATATATGTGTGTATAGATGTTAAATACTATTTCTTGTAATTGATATTATGCTGAAATTTTCGTTTCGAGAAGATTTATGTTTTTTGCCGTAGTACTGTATATGTGAACTTTATACGCTATTTACGATCTCCTGCTTGACGAAGAACCGCCGAAATAAAATTAATAATTCGGTATTAATTAAGAACCACAGCGTGTCAATTGATAGCACATTGCCGGGTAAAACTGTTAACTGCACAGCTTATGAACTGCACGGGCCGTATGGGCTTCTGATGAAGGTTTTCACAATTTACCTCAGTGTATTGCAGTCGTCCATATAGGGTTCATAGCTACGAGATTGAGCGGAGCACGTATAACAGAGCGAATGACTTGATTTCATTGGAGGATATTCAAGAAAATTTTGGAACTTGATTTTCCATTTTCAGCTCGCAAATTTAAATGCAATAATTCTAAATTCTTCTAAATGACCAAAAGGTGGAATCATGATTGCGCGCTGTTTTAAATCAACTAATTAATTTTTATTCGTTAGTTACCCTAAAATTTAGTAAAAATAAAAATGTATCTTTAATTAAGCATGTAGTTTTCAAACTTTAATCAGGAAAATGAATTTGCTCCGAGGTACGCAGCGTTTTATAGACCATGTGTGGACGAGCTCCACACAGCTGTGTTGTGTCAACAATCCATACAAGCCGAGCTGCTGCCCTGCGCAGTACACAACAATGACGCAGCAACACAGCGACGACGCACTACACAGCACCGACAACAAACAAACATTGATTCACTCATCTCAGAAGTAACTCTGCTTCCTTGATTGTATTGAAGACTTAAGCTTCCTGTACAATTTTTGAATGCGTGGAAAAATTCACGACATGGTATTAAATGCGCCTTCTATCGTCGAATTTTAATCATACTCATGACATTGGGGGCATAGGTCTGACTGAGTGTTGTCGAGGCGGTGTTTGTGGGAGTATAGTGATGGATGGTGACCTCAGAGAAGTCTGCTGAGGTGCACATTGTCCGCACGGTTTAACTGCTGTTCTTTATGGCTTATGTCCGGCGGTATGTCATCTCTATGATATTGTTGATTGGTGGATTCGAGAGTGCGTTCCAGTTCAAGTGTTTGTGTATATGTTTGATGAAGTTAGGTAATGGGTCTGCGGGCGGGGGTATGAAGTTTAATATTGTGAGAAAATATTTATATAAAGTGTTAGCTTTTTGTCTGGGTGTAGGGGGTAAGTGCTGAAGGTGATGACAGGGGCTGAGGAGGCTGTTGAGTGCTGCTGCAAGGAATTGGAGCCTTTCATGTCAGTAGGAGAACTTTGGTTTCTGCACCAACGGAACTAGATGGTGTGGTTAGGGTGTTGCCGAGTGCGATGCTGAGTGTTGTGTTATGTATGGTTTATAGGTGATTGTGGACTGTAGGTGAGATAATGGGTGCCCAGGCTGGACTTGCAAGTCAAGCACTGAGCGTGTGTATGGTTTGTACACTACTGTAAGATTTCCCTTGTTCTATCCGAATATTGTACCTGTGAGGGCACTTAAAGTGTTTAGTCTAGAAGTTGGGTGGGAAGGAGCGCTGTGGAAATCCCCCATCTTATGTTGAAATTTTAAATCCCCCAAAGTATGTTGAAATTTGTCGATTTAAATAATCCAGACTAAAATTACTTTCTATAATTTATCCTTCCGTTTTTAGATTTCTATATTCACACAAAGGCATTTTTGATGTAAATGATAACCACCTCCTCCGCTTCTATATATACCCACGCTAGAATTAAAGATGTTATTTATTCTCTTTTCATCTAATTCAAAATCTAAATGATATTCTCATACAATAAGCGCAAGCAACAAGCAATTAATTATTGGTGTAAGGCAGTACGTGACGGCCGCTGGGTCACGCCATAACTTCAGTGACATGCAGCTAGAGGCGGCTGAAATTTGCCCGCAACGATTCCCGCAGCGCAGAGTTCGATATAACGAAGATTTCGGAGCCGTTCTGAGCAATAAATTGCAATTCTGCGAGCATTAAATCTAATAAAATCTACGGCTAACTCATGCCACTCAATATGCATTGTATTTTTGAAATCTTGATTAATATTACTATAATTGAAACTTCACTTGAGAAAGATGAGTATTGTAAAAAATTGCGTCTGGGAACCTACAGGACAACTGATCAATTGAAAATACTGCGACCCGAATTTAAAATGAAAATCAGTCTGATTAATAGGAGGGCTGATGAATTTTCTTGGTCAATTTTTCCGAAAATTTTAGTAGGTGTTTAATGAAAATTGGAAGACTCGCTCAGAGATGAGTCCTTCTACACTGTTTAGGTAATGAGTTTTTAAGTTAGAGGGCAAGAGTTCATGGTCGTCAACGGAGATGATCAGTACAGACGTACGCCTCCATAACAACACCGTGAGTGCAAACACTCAATGAACAAGAACAGAGACGGGCCTAAAGCGTTCAAATGCGCAATGTGCATCTGCACTTGCGTATTATACGCACTGATTGTCCTCACACAGCGTTTGTTTTTTTTCTGTTTGTAAGTCCAGTTAATTTTCTGACTCGCTGGTCATGTTTTTAAGGGTGATCGAGTTGTGTGTGCTAGATGAGAGCCTCAGAAAGCTTAGTAACAGTTGCTACTGTTCATATTATGAGATTTACAAAGCGTCGTCTTAGTTAACGGACAGAAATGTTTGTTCATGGTAGTAAGTAAAAATAGAACACGTTACTTCTCATTAGATGCTTTGCTTTTAAGTTTGTTTGAAAATGGGAAATTGCAGAGAAATTACTTGACTTTCTTAATGGGCATTAGATGAAAATGTGTGTAAAAATTTTGACGAAAAAGTTGAAAGCTTTTACTTTTATTGATATTGAATCAAATTTTAGGGTAATTCATCATTAGTGACGTTTGACGTACTCTGAAATTGTTCGGCCATCGACAGCCTTCATAACAAGAAGGCAAACCGAAATTTGCAGATCATTGACCATCAAAATCGGATATCACGCCCCGGGATGTCAGAAGATCGGAAACACGTGACGGAAATCTCGGTTCAAGTACCACACTCCAACACGCGAACTTCCGCAGCACGCGATCAGGACTCAGGATGTCACGTGTCAGTACTTTACTTCATGTGAAGTTAAACAAAGATGGCTCCATCATCAGTAATTATCAATGTGATTTGCTACGGCTTAAGCAGTGTAATGTTGAGGATTAAGAGCTTCCTGATGAAGATAATATTCTTATTTCAAAGATATTATGATTAATAGATTCTACTTATATTGTTGGCAGACACGATTCCGATAAATGACGGCCAGTGACATGAGAGGCCTCTTGGCACCCATGCAGGATATTTTGAAATGGACAGACTATTCAATTGTCCTGAAGGCGAACGCTTCATATTACGAAAACTTTCTTTCAGTTGAGCTGAAGCAGGAATGAGCATGCAATGTGCGTAATTTAGTTTCCGCATGACAAAAATCGATTGAAATATCAACGATCACGTAGTAAAATCATTTGGTTACCGAAACGAAAACTAACTAATAATTAAAAAGCAAAGAAAATGGCACCGAAATTCACAATATTTTTATCGTAAATGTTTCGGAGTCCAGCTGCATCATCAGTTATAAAATATTCGAATCTTCGAGTTCATATTCAGCTTAAATTTTAAGCGACTGCTTGTGCCTATATCCCGTTACCATTTCCTTTATTTTTAAATTTAGATTTTAATACCTGTGTAGTGCGAATTTTGGTTGTGCTAATTGATTGTGACTATCAGGACTTGATTGTGATTATTAGGATACTCTATTCTATGATTTGATCTGACGATGCAGCTGGACTGTATTTCCTTAATTCTTGAATATTCAATTAATGCTCTGTAAATATTTTCCTTACTCTTAAATTTTAAGTCAATAATCACTATTACGTCGAAGCAGGCGTGAGAAATGAATTTTAAACGAACTTTGTATATCCAACCGTCAGTTAATTGATTCACTCGCACCATTAGTATATTACCTTAACTCGCGTGAGAAATTCATAATGCATACAAACAATTAATACCAATCAAGTTGATGAAGTAATATTTTGATAAATAAATAATATATGTGATTACTAACCAGCCAGAGAAGCGACGATGATAACGCGCCCTCCGCCGCTCTGTCTGAGGAGAGGCAGGAAAGTCTTGGTGACCAGCACCGGCCCCAGGGCGTTCACTTCCAGCTGCTTCCTGAAGGTGGAGAGCGAGCACCACTCGATCTCCGTGAAGGTTGCGATGCCCGCGTTGTTCACCACCGCCCACAGGCTCTCTGCTCGCACAGAGAGGGGGCGGATCAACCGGAGGCTGGGTTTCTCTTGGCATTTTGTTGACATTTTTCCAAACATTATTTTGTTTTGCGCACGGATTTTACCTTTTTCAAATTACCGGAAAAGGAACGTGCATTAATAAGATGTTTGAATTTAATTTAAAATTGTTAGTTTATTAATGTTCGGGCGATTAGGTAGAGATAAAATAAGAGTTGGCGAAATTCCAATTCGAAGAAATTTTTGGCCGTCTTATCATTCTGCAGAAATGTTTTATAAGACTCCAATATTAAAAATATAAGGTTGACATTTTGTGCTGAAAATCAAATGGGAAAGTCTCAAATGGGAAAGAGCTTTGGAAATATGCTAAGTTTGATATTTGAATGTCTCATTGTAAATGGAACACGATTCAAAATATAGAAATATAAAGAACGTCTGGTATGGAAGTCTCACCATCGATATCGAGATCGTCGGCGACGAGTTTGTAGGCTTCCATGACATCATCTTCCTTGGTAACATCGCACTTGAGCGCCACAATCTTGGAGGACTGAAGCTTGAGGCTCGTGGGGCCCTGACCGTCGGGGTCCAGGCAGCCTGCGTACACCTGCACGAGATGACAAGTCGAGCGTGTGGTGATGTGGAGTAGCAACACACATCGAAATTATGTTGAAAATTACGTTGAACGTCAGCTGATGTCTAGTAGCGACACACATCGAAATTACGGTGAAAAAATAACAGGCCGAGCGTCAGCTAATGTGGAGTAGCAACACACATCGAAATTATGTTGAAAATTACGTTGAACGTCAGCTGATGTCTAGTAGCGACACACATCGAAATTACGGTGAAAAAGCGACAGGTCGAGCGTCAGTTGATGCGGAGCAGCAACGCACTTCGAAATACCAGCGAAGAAACAACAGGCCGAGTGTCAGCTGATGTCGAGTAGCGACACACTCCGAACTTACATTGAAAAAACGGTTATAGTGTCCGGCCACCATGTGAAATAAAACTAAATCGCCGTTTTTTCAAATATATGGTTTAAGTTCAATTTCGTTTAACTTGAAAAATATGAAGTTGTATAATTTCGCGAAGGGACAGGCAACTAGAACGCCGCCGATCAGCCCGTTCTACGGAGACTTTCCGAACAGTACTTGTACTCGTACGAGCATGTACGACATACGTAATGAAAAACGTGATTCTAACAAGGAGTCACGGAACAATACATCTGCCTGTAGATCGCCGGTTGCATTAAAAATTGGGCAGGCCAAGTGTCGGTACAGGACGCGTGTCGGGATCAACCAATTTCGAGGATGCAGACACTAATTATTGGTCGCAAAGTTCATATGACGTGCACATTTCTAATGGATTATCTGAGATAGCGAATAAATATTATTGCTCGCAAGCACATTTTCAAGTTCGAACTCGCAAATATATTTGGTTTTTCAATCAGTTCAATTTCAAATTAATTTTTATTTGAAATAAATACATAGAAAGTAATCCTACGTAATGTTTTGGGAAATTTCATTAAAGTGACTAATTCGTTTACTCTAGACTGGATGTTAAACGAATTCTGACAGATGTTAACAATTGTTGTTGTGACTGAATGACTACTTAAATCGTGGACCAGTATCTGACAGTCGCATGGGATCCCCGCGTTATCCTGATAGAATAATCCTGAGGATGTACAGTTGTACACGATAACAACTACAGATGAGGCCAGCGTGAGGCCGAAGCAGGCGCTGGGGCACCCGAGGTCGGTCCGGTCAGCAGGACGCGGACAGGTTGTCCTACTGAGGGCCGAGGTTGTGGCCTCGTAACACTTCCGCTGAGTTGTACATTTTCAGATCTTACCTTGTCTGACGCAGAAATGACCCACATAATATCTCTTATAAATGTATTCCCGTTAGTGCTAGCGATAAAACCCATCTGCTCCATAATTTAACTTACACCTGAAGCCGATATAATCACTGTATATTTTACGAGATTGTTGAGCAAGCTTATAAAATACGATTCTCATCATCCATGTGATGAAATCTAATAACTTATCCAATGCGGGTAAGATTAGCTATGAATACCAGACATGAACAATATTAGAGCTCCTTTTCAACCTTTTATCATATTCTTTTAATACGTCAACGCAACTCTGAGAACATGGTGCCGAACTTTCTGAAAACCCAAGCGTCTTTTTACGAACATAGATAAACAACATCGCAAGTCATTCAAATTATCTCTGTTTGTCAGCGCGGGAATCTGTTAAGGCGGCTGAAACACAAGAAACAACGACCCACCTTGAAGCCCATCTTCGCGAGGGTAGATGCCAGCTCCAACCCAAAGCCAGAGTCACAGCCTGGAATGATGAAAAAATTTGCCTTAGCCCACATACACCTCGGGTGTTTGATATTAGGAAATGCATTGAAAATTGACAGTCTTTGAAAACGTGCTTACTCATTTTTAAATTTAGAAAATTCCGCCTGTAAGGTTGTGAATCGTTGTTGGATGGCACTGAATGGAAATTGAGATCAGTGGGAACCGACCATGCCATGAGTCAGCCGAAACCCAACAGTCGTTCAGTTAGCAACCCGTGTAAAGGCATTTACATCGGCTGTAGAGTGCCTTAGCCATTTTATTTCAGTGGAAAAACTTTATTGGGTATTTATTGGGTTCATTTGCTTCTCGGGAGCGGACAGTAGACCAGGTTAAAGATCGAGTTTGAAGAACTCGTCGGGGATGCTCTAGCTCGGATCATGGAGGTGTCATGATCTCTTATGGGACGATCAAGCCGTTACTATTGGGCATCCATTATGCCAAGTGTATATATTTAGTGTTGCGTTTATTAGGTTTTATTGTATTAATGTGTTAACTATTCCATCTAGTCGTGTTTAAATAATCTGTTATTAGTTGATGGTATGTTTGAGGTACCTTGCATAAGTAAGGAACGAACCCAAGGAAGTACCAGCTTCATTACACTATCTAAAATTCCTCTTATTATGATTAAAATAATCTAGCCAATATTTCACTTATTCTAATTGCACGATCTAATCCAATGAAAATGAGGTTGATCAGCCAGCCGACGAAACGCACCACGCTCCTATCACTGCTACAAAAATCACTGTTAAACGGTATTACCGGCGTTTCAGTAACGACCGGCACGTGAAATTAAACACCGTGTTGCTGTTTTTATTCCAATTTTACACTAGAAACCCGTGTAACATCTGAAAAAACGGCAAAACGGTATATTTTCACGGGACCGCTATTCACTAGAACGCCGGTAAGACCGTTTTTTTCACAGTTTTTAGCGCATTTTCTCATTTATGGAAAAAAGGCGCTATTGTGCTCGTCGTGTCCGTCCGTCTGTGAAGTCACGGACGAACGGACGAGAAAATGCGCTGTCACTCACTGCACTACTACTAATCTAATGAAATTTTTACTACTAACTAATAAAATAGTACTAACTAATACAAATTTTTTGAATAAGAGGAGGCAGCTTGGCGGGGCGGATGGTTCAACAGCATGACTCTGTAGTATTTTATCCTTGTCACTTATGCCAGAAAATAACATTATACAGTACAATATTTTATATATCATATATCCTTCTCACTTTAGAAACATGAGAAATATCAGATACGAAAAATATTCCTTAACACTACGTTGTGTCTCATATTTCTTAACATTATACGAATATACATGATAGCAATTTTCAACAAGATAAAATTGTAGAGAATTATCCGTATCTAACTACTCCATTTATATTCCGGATTTACGCTAGAGTCATCGCTATACTTCAGGATAAACATAAGGACATTGGATGTGTAAACTTGCACAGGATACTGCGCGTCGATAACACATCCATACCATACGAGACACTTGACTCTCGTGCGGCCTTGACACACCGACACCGTACATGATACTCCGTCACAACACGTGACACTCTGGCACAGCTAGTGCGCGTTATATGCACATGTTCTGACAAATTGACACTACACGCTAAAGATGTGCGTCCAGTGTGTGGCAGGCCGGACCAGATCTGAAAAACAAAGCTTATCAAGTGACAAACCGGATCTGCATTTGACGAACCGGATCTGCACGTGACAAATCTCATCTGCACGTGACGAACCGGATCTGCACGTGACAAATCTCATCTGCATTTGACGAACCGGATCTGCACGTGACAAATGTCATCTGCACATGACGAACCGGATCTGCACGTGGTAAACCAGGTCTACGCGTGACAAACCATGTCTGCAGAGTTCGAGACAGAGCAGCAAAACACGCGACACTCGTACGGCCGGATGGTCCTCCACTGCATCAGCACGTTCAGTTCTGCAGTCTTCAGATACATCCTGCGCTGATAGCCACAACAAAGCAAACTCATGTCGAACTGAAGAGCAGTTTGGACTTTAATACTAAATACCATCAATATAAGCCAAATGAAATGAAAGAAACACACGCATTGGTGTTCTGTAATTGCTCAAGAAAAGAAGTCTTAATTTGAAAGAAAATCAATGGTAACTCCATACACGCACATAGTTTAGCTGTGATAATTTTGTGGCCTATGTTAAAGTCACAAAAAATTTAATCTATTAACACACCAAATGATATTAATAGATTATTCCATGTACGAAAGAGACAGTAAATAAATTATAGCCCTGGCTAATACGATTGCATCGTATATAGGTACGATCGTATCGTGCTGATATGATTGCTTGTTGTTGTTTTGCTTTCTCGCATACCACAAGCATGAGGTTCTTCGATTGCTATTTGCTAGAGTATGACATCACGCTTAAAATTGCTTTGCTCGGCAATGTTGAATAAGGCCGTGGAATATTCGCTCATTACTGAGCATGTCCTTAGCGTGCTATATCATGTTGCCAGCTACCGTCGCCGTGAGGTATTTCTTCACTGTAGAGTTGCAATAATCGCTTACATAACACAAAAATAAGGAAGAAGAGCTGAACAACATAACGCCATTATTTGCGTTGTTATTCTGATGAATCATTTCTCTTTTCGATACTCGGAAAAGCGCGATTATGGACAAAGACAGATTTTTCTACTCCGTTGTCAGACCTATTTCCAATCTGGTACAATAATCTCATTTAATTAAGCACAAATAAACTTTCAGAAACTGCATACGCACAAAAAAATCGTAATTATCACTAATTGTTGGTGCTACTGATAGATGAGTCAAATTATAATTTAAGAATTAAAGATGTAGCTCTGTTATGCAGTTTAATTAAAACATAACTCAAGTTTAGGCCGAGCCTTCCAACAACACTTCTCTCCGTCGGTTACATCATATACTTGAGGTCTGCATGCGACAGGATGTCCGAGGCACTAAACAAAAGCAAAGATTTTCATGTACACCAAGACGTTTCTTATTTTTTTATAACGTGGAACACGTCGCCTTGTTTCTGCCATTGTTCGAGTTTCTTGCAGAAATGAGGGAGTCGTAAATGGCGTCTCCATCCACGTCAGCGTCATTCTGAATTTGGTGAAAAATATCATATATTTAGAACCTGGGAATAAAATGGTTTATATCATCACGAGATGAACTTTAGAAAAACCGAGCTGACATAACTCGAAATCTGAAATCTTACCTGTGACAAAGACGGCTTTCTTGGAGACGTCTTTGATGTTAACCCTCGGCCTGGTGTTCTGAATGCCTTTGAGGATCCACTCCGAGATATGGGCTGCCACCAGGCCTATGGAGAGAATGCCCAGGGCCCAGGAGTGTTGAGACACGAGTGTCAACGCAGCCCACACTGCCGCCCACACCGCAATGTTCGCCATGTAAGAATTGCCCATCTTCGCTCCTTCGTTTGAATAAAACGCACGGTGTGGCCGAGTGGTTAAGATCACTAAGATGGGAGCAGCGAGTTGGGGGTTCGAAACCTACAACTGTTAGTGAAACTTCCGATCGAAATCGGCAAGGTGACCTGGTGTTTAAAAAACGGCTATAGGCCAATACGGCTTACAAAGCCGACACAAATATATTATTATATTCGCACAACCGGCGCCAACAGAAGCACTGACGCCCGTTACAAGCCTGACGTAGGCCAGACCTGACGAACGCAAAGGTCAACAGAAGCACTGAGACTTCTTTCAAATGCTTTAATGCATCAAGGATAGCAATACCAAGGCGTCTTTCAGAGCAAGTCTTATGGCGCCTCTCCAGCACAATTCAATACTTCAACACGAACAGCAGTCAAAGCCTAGCCACGTCGCTAGTTGTGCTCGTATCAAAGGAAGATCGACGGCAATAAGGAAGCCCGTGTTGCTACCCAGTGCAGTTACTGTGTTGCTTAGGGTTGCTGAGAACAAGCAACGACCTTGTGTACGAAGGTTTTTTATCTTGTGTTACTTTATATTCTTTTAAACACAAAGGGTTTATTGATACTCTAGTCGTTGTCAAGCGCATTTATTTACACGTTCCAATGTCTTTCAGCAGCGCCGTCCAAAATATCAACCAAAGTTCAAGAAAATGTACCACACATGGTCTATAACAACTAAAATAACTGGAGTTATCAATACCGAACTAATTTAGAAAGCTTTAAGTATTTCGAACACAATTATTTATTTAACGTGAATTGCTTTAATTTCTGTCGTCGACTTCCCGTACTGCACTGTAAGCAAAAGAAAAAACACCTCGTATAAGAATAAAATGATGTAGCTGTTAAAAAAAATAAGAAACTTTTAGTCAATTCCAATTTTGTCTTATAACCTATAACGTTCACAAGTGCTCCTAAATATTAATTATTTCAGATGGTTCTTACTTATTTTAACACTATACACCATCTCTTATTTCAAATCCTTTTCAGCTATGCTGAAAACGACTATCGACAGGACTGCGTATTTTTGTGCAAGTTTTGAATATGAATCGCATGCAAGTTTTAGTACATTTTGACTGATGTACAAACTTACAGGTTGGAGAATATAAACGATATGTATGAGTGAATTAAAACACTTAGTCCCTTGACAAGGACTCTAGACACAAGAAACATTATTTTACGCTAAGCCTTCAGCGGGGGGCTGTCAGCTATAGCGTATCTCTTATTCTCATAAACTAATTAATATTAAAGAGTTTTACAACTCAACTTTGTCCAGGGTACGAAACATTTCAAGCCAGGGCATTATGCAAGCGAACTTGCAGTGAATTAATCATAACTTCCAAATCTTTTTAATGTAACCTGTCTGCAACTGCTATACCTAACACCAGCCTAGCATTATAAATATTAATCAAAACTCTGGATGGGACACAAACTCTATTAGTAAGGTATATTGTGACCCGTTATTTAACGGCACGTGCTGTTACTCAATTCCGGGTGGCGGAACATTTATTATAATTTTATTTTCATCTGTAACCGAATTCAGAATTGCTGGTATCCATTATTCTCTGTGAATTCAGAGCTTAACCTTCAAGAGGTATCCGATAAATTTGTAGGCATACTTTAAAGGCCTTTGCCGCTTATCGATAATTGTACCCGGTCGAAAATAGTAACTATACCCAGCCACAACTCCTACACGCCGAGGCACGAGCCAACTGAGCGTCCGTAGAGGCTGGGGCTGCTTATATACCTCCTGCCGTGCCCGTACATCCCAGCAGATACAGCAGCTGTGTCCGCTGAGTGAGGTACCCGGAGCGTCAACAACGAAATAATGCAATGATATAACGCAATCTAATCAGAAATTCAAGCACATTAACTCCCAACACATTTAAGCTTCACACTTATTTGGTATCAGTGATCATAAATCGCTTTCTTTCTTTTTATGTCATTGGATACTCTAAAAAACTGCGCATTAGAACTCATATCGGGAGGTCGAGGTTGTGTTCGCCGGATATCCGAGACCCGAGCAGCATATGAAATGGGCAATAACTACCGGATCTGACCAGAGGTTTGTTCAATGACAGAAGCGATCGTGCGAGGAAGGCTTTGGCTTGCACCGTAGTTCAAATTACGCATGTCAGGTGTACGCCGGAAACATAAACAAACCTGATGGAAGGAAGTACAACCTTGTGGCTAGTGTCCTTCAATGTCGAAGATGTGATGGAGTAGGAAGGCACAAAATTGAATCGCAATACTTTATTTAAGCTGTATAAATTATTAAAGTAAGAAAACATTAAAGTTGTGGCGTATTAGATGCAAAGACGACGTTGAATGACGTTGAACGTATTTTCCTCGGTCATCGCACTCGTATCAACGTGACTAAAAATCCTAATGACAATTTTTGTCAACGAGAATGGCACTTCCGGGATCGAAGTTTTTCAGGTTGAATTTGCCCACTGTTCGCTTTGCAAACATTCACTTCCTAAGTCTTAACCATTTACTTTATTTCAATAAGTTTTGCTGCTGTGTTTATAGATGTAGAAAACTGAAGAAATCATTATAATTCAAATTTTATCTATTTTCCTAATTTTATTTTGAATTCGTCAGCATTCAAATTCTGCTCAATTATCAGTTACGCACTTTGCTTTAGCATCACAATATTCCAATTTCTCGAGAAATGAGTGTAAAGACTAATCATCGCTTCTTTTATCACAGCCTTAATTCGAAAAATTTGACCACACAAAGCAATGTTCATCAGCATTCTGTAGGCCACTTATGCGTTATGCCTAAACAGCTATTTCAGTCATGCGAATCTGTTACCTCTCGCTCATTATTCACCACAGCAGCATTTGCCATATGGATCACCATTTTCTTTCTGGTGAATATGTGTTTAAGTTCCTGAGTGAGCAAAGCGATAATTGCAGGGCGATAAATGGGCTACAATGCAAGCACAGAAGGAGCTGAGGGACCAAACTTTTCTTGCTGATGCTGGGGACTTACCGAGTATTTTTGCATGAAACTTTAGACCGCGCACAGGGAAGATATCTTCGCGAGATACTTGCACCACGAGGGGCGCATGCCGGAGGCCAGCTTTGCCAAAATTCACGCTTGGTTCATATTCCTTTCCATAGGTAAGAACGCTAGAGTGCATAACGGCCTATATGAAGTCAAGTGCACAAAGCCATAGCGCCGCATGTCCACAGCCACAAAATAAGCTTTCCAGAGGTAAACATGGTCATACTGCATCTGGCCAAACCTCCTCTGGCCTAACCTCATCAGGCCTAACCTATACGAGCTGCAACCTTTCTCCACCAAAAATAAGCCTGAGCGGACCTAACCTAACCTCATTGGCTGCAAGAAGTTAAAAAGGCGGTCCAAGTGTGCTGGTAGAGCCAGTCATTGGCTGCAAGAAGGTTCTTAGCCGGGACAGCGTGAATAGGTTTGGCCAGAAGAGGTTAGGCCGGAGCAGGTACAGCCGGATGAGGAACCGCCTGCATATTAGCTAGCATGCTTTAAGGATTGGCTGAAGACCTACGGCGCTATTATCTTTTGGCAGTGTGTCGCTTGTCTGGATTACGGAGTTCAAGCGTAGTCTGCAGCTTCTAGTTCCGAGGCTGAGTAAAGTTAATGCATGATGAGGCTTGGCGTTGGCTCCAGATTTTATTTAAGAGTAAAATTTGTGGCCTACGGCTGCGCACCCCACCACGAGAAACACAGAACAGCAGGTGAGACACTAGGAACTTGCCGGTTCTGCATTTATGGAGGTGGGTAGTGGGAATTAATTCGCAATGAGCGGTAGCCTCTAATTATGAGCGGTGAGCCCATTGTGTGTAGGACCTGATACTTGTGTCTTATGAACTTTTACGGAAAATTGGAAGTCATGCCATTCTAGTATAAATTCAGCTATACCTATATATGCTTGTACTTGATTTACGCCTGGCCTTGCCGTCTCTCTAATAACGTTAGTCTTCCATAAACAGTTGCTAGGCTATCATTAACAAAACTGTATACTATACTACATAGTATACACTATACTATATACTGTAAACTATACTATACTGATTTTGAAATGAATGAGCACTTCAAAGAATTAACAGGATGAGATCTGTTGCAGCTAGCACAACGGCTCACAACCGATATACACACAGAGTGTTCGTGTGGACCAGGGGGGCGCAGCCGTAAGCCACATATTCTACTCATTAATAACACTTGGAGCCAACGCCCAGCTTCACCATGCATTAACTTTACTCAGCCTCAGAACTAGAAGCTGCAGACTACGCTTGAACTCCGTAATCCAGACAAGCGACACACTGCCGAAAAATAATGGCGCCATAGGTCTTCAGCCAATGCTTAAGCATGCCCACTCGTTGTGATAACATTGAAGCATACACGTATACTCTTGGCTTATACAAGGTCCCAGAAGGATTACTAGAACTTGAAACAAGAACCAACGCCAGGGGCCATGGCTATAAACTAAAAAAAACTGCGTTGTAACACATCCATGCGACAATTTCTTCTCGCTTCGAGTCACCGACATGTGGAACAGCCTCCCTGATAGCATCGTTGACGCTCCGAGTATGAACGCCTTCAAGAACAGACTAGACGAAGCTATGCAGGAGCACATGTTCAGTCTTAAAATGCACAGCAAATTACGGACCAGGCAACAAGTCCAGCAGCTATCTCAATAAATCGTCAGTTATAAAAAAGATCGGGTTCCAAAGGTTTCGAGTCACCGACATGTGGAACAGCCTCCCTGATAGCATCGTTGACGCTCCGAGTATGAACGCCTTCAAGAACAGACTAGACGAAGCTATGCAGGAGCACATGTTCAGTCTTAAAATGCACAGCAAATTACGGACCAGGCAAAAAGTCCAGCAGCTATCTCAATAAATCGTCAGTTATAAAAAAGATCGGGTTCCAAAGGCCGGGTACCTTGTGAATCAAGTCACGAAAAATGCAAGAATCGGCAACAGGCCATGGGCCTATTTCTTCAGTGCCGACACTTCTATTCTATTCTATTTTATAAGCAGGCAGTTCCCCATCCGGCTGTACCTACTCCGGCCTAACCTATTCACGCTGTCCCGGCTCACAACCTTCTTGCAGCCAATGACATTGACTGGCTCTACCAGCACACTTGGACCGCCTTTATAAATTCTTGCAAGCTCAGGTTTGTTTAGGGTGGAGAAAGGTTGTAGCTCGTATAGGCTAGGCCTGAAGAGGTTAGGCCAGATGAGGTTTGGCCAGATGCAGTATGACCATGTTTACCTTTTGCAAGCTGATTTTGTGGCTGTGGAAATCCGGCGCTATGGCTTTGAGCACTTGACTTCATAGGCCGTTATGCACTCTAGCATTCTTACCTATGGAAAGAAATATGAACTAAGTGTGAAGTTTGGCAAAGCTGGCCTCCGGCATGCGCCCCGGGACCAGCACATAAAGACACCTTATGGGTGAATCACTTACCCCAGCAAGGTGTCCCAATTGTTGACACCTGTAGCATTGCATTATACGAGCCACATAAGCTCTAACGTGGTTTGACACATATCCATTTATAACCTTGCTATAGACAAAGTTTTTCCCTCAAAGACTACCTCTTGAGTAGCAGATTGCTCTCGTAACCGGGCTCGAAAGGATGGCGTCACGGCACCGAATCGCGAGATTCATGGTGGGGGGGGGGCGCAGCCGTAAGCCACAAACTTTACTCTTAAATAAGCTCTGGATCCAACGCCCAGCTTCATCATGCATCAACTTTACTAAGCATCAGAGCTAGAAGCCGCAGACTACGCTTGAACGCCGTAATCCAGACAAGCGAAACACTGCTGAAAGATAATAGCGCCGTA